ACCCCCGGTGTTGAGGTCACCACTGGCCCTCTCGGCAGGGTATTTGCAATGCCGTTGGCCTGGCCATGGCCCAAGCCCACACTGCTGCCACGTTCAACAAGGATGGCTTCAACCTGGTTGACAACTACACTTACTGCTTCCTTGGTGACGGCTGCCTGATGGAGGGTGTCTCTGGCGAGGCTTCTTCCCTCGCTGGTCACCTCCAGCTCGGCAACCTCATTGCCGTCTGGGACGACAACCACATTTCCATTGACGGTGACACCAACGTCGCCTTCACTGAGGACGTCATCAAGAGGTATGAGGCGTACGGCTGGCACGTCGTCTCCGTCTCTGACGGTGACAACGACCTCGAGGGTATCGAGGCCGCCTTCAAGAAGTGCCAGGAGGTCAAGGACAAGCCTTCCCTGATCGCTCTGAGGACCACTATCGGCTTCGGCTCCAAGCAGCAGGGCACCCACGGTGTCCACGGCTCTCCCCTCAAGGCCGACGACATCAAGCAGCTCAAGGAGAAGTTCGGCTTCAACCCTGACGAGAGCTTCGCCGTCCCCCAGGAGGTCTACGATGCCTACAACAAGCACGCTGCCGAGGGTGCCGCCGCCGAGGAGGAGTGGAACAAGCTCTTTGCCAAGTACGGTGAGAAGTTCTCTGCCGAGCACGCCGATCTCGCCCGCCGCCTCACTGGCGACCTCCCCGAGGGCTGGGAAAAGAGCCTGCCTGTCTACACCCCCGCCGACGCGGCTGTTGCGTCTCGTAAGCTTTCCGAGATCGTTCTCTCCAAGGTTGAGGGCGTTCTTCCCGAGCTTGTCGGTGGCTCTGCCGATTTGACCGGCTCCAACCTGACCAGGTGGAAGGAGGCCGTCGACTTCCAGGCTCCTCAGACCAAGCTCGGTGACTATGCCGGCCGCTACATCCGCTACGGCGTCCGCGAGCACGCCATGGGTGCCATCATGAACGGTCTTGCCGCCTACGGAACCATCTTGCCCTACGGCGGTACCTTCCTCAACTTCGTCTCGTACGCTGCCGGTGCCATCCGTCTCTCCGCTCTGTCCCAGGTCCGCGCCATCTGGGTCGCCACCCACGACTCGATTGGTCTCGGTGAGGACGGTCCCACCCACCAGCCTATCGAGACACTTGCCCACTTCCGCGCTCTCCCCAACTGCATGGTCTGGCGCCCTGCCGACGGCAACGAGACCAGCGCTGCCTACTACGTCGCCCTCACCTCCAAGCACACGCCTAGCATTATTGCCCTGTCGCGCCAGAACCTGCCCCAGCTCGAGGGCTCTGTCCTGGAGAAGTCTGTCAAGGGTGGATACGTGCTGCACGAGGAGGAGGGTGCCGATGTCACCCTTGTCTCCACCGGTTCCGAAGTTTGCATCTGTGTTGATGCCGTCAAGGAGCTCAAGGAGAAGCACAACATCAAGGCTCGTGTCGTTTCCATTCCTTGCTTCGAGGTCTTCGATGCGCAGTCCAAGGAGTACCGCCTCAGCGTCCTGCCCGACGGCATCCCCTCTCTGTCCGTTGAGGTCATGAGCACCATGGGCTGGGAGCGTTACACGCACGAGCAGTTTGGACTCAACCGCTTCGGTGCCTCCGGCGCTTACAAGGACGTCTACAAGGTATGTCATCGTCTTTGTCCTGCTGCGCTGTTCGGAGCTAACAACCGCTTTAGAAGTTCGAGTTCACTCCTGAGGGCATCGCCAAGCGCGCGGTTGCCACCATTGACTTCTGGAAGGACGTTCCCAACATCCGCTCCCCCATCAACCGTGCGTTCCAGCAGCTCATCTAAGCAATTGATTCGGGAAAGGATAAGGATACCAAGCGTTCAGAAAATTGAGACATGTGCTTTGATGATGCCACGTTGGACGGGAATCGGGTAGATGACTTTTTTTTATACTTCGAGATAGAGGAACTGAAATGAAAATGATGGTTTAGCAAGCTCATAGCGTACCGGCAATGGTCATCGGGGCGTGATTCATGTATTTCCATTAAGTGTCGTGATGGTCATCTAATCGTCCAATTCATTCGGACTGTATGCAACAAACAGACCCCAAGTAGCTTTCCAAGGCATTCAAGGAGGCATGGTGGCCACCCTGTCACATTTCTTCGTCCTTGCTTCTTCCTGTCTCCAGATGCGCGTTCGCAAGCCCGCCAAGCTCAACATGGCATTTCAACCACTTTCGTCGCTGTCGTAGCGCCTGTTCTCCTCGACGGTCCACTCGCGCTGGACTTCCCTCGCGACGCGCTCCAGTCGGACGGCCGCGCGCCGGGCCTCGAGCGCCTCCTCGGCTGTGCCGGCCACGACGAGGCCTATGAGCATGGGCGCCGCGTCGGCGGCGGAGGTCTCGAGACCGTCCTGCGCGCTGCCGACTGTGAGGAGCTGTCTGTTTCCTTCTTGGCGGGGGGCGTAGCTGCTGCTGCTGCTGTTGATGATGCGCGGCCCGAGTCGCGAGTGTGCGGCCTGCTTCGCGGGGGCGGGACACGTTGGGGCGGGATGAGGTCGTGGCGGTGGCGGTGGGGTCGGAGCCGGAGCCGGAGCCGGCGCTCGAGAGGGTGGCAGCGGCGAGGAGGTCTGTCGGGGGCGCGAGGGCGGAATGGGCCAATGTCGAGGGGGACGGGTCGGCGGCGGCGGCGACAGCGGCGGGATTCAGGGAGGAGGAGGCTGCGGGCGGCCCCGTGACGACGATGCCGCCGCCGCCGGTGGATGGGGAGCCGGCGCGACGGGGGGATGTCGCCGAGGAGGCTATGTGTGCCGCGGTGGGGGTGTGCGCGGACGAGGAGGACAGGGCGGCGGCTGGGTCGAGGTAGGAGGTCAGGACGACGGGGGCGCCGGGGCCGTGCTCGACCATGAGGCGCTGGGGGTGGCCCAGCGCGAGGCGATGGGCGGCGGCGTGGGCGGTCAGGGAGGTTGTCGCGAGGGACGTCAGGGCCTCGAGCTGGGTGTCTGAGCGGGCGGATGTGAGGATCGGGTGGAGATTGCGGTCGGAGAGGTGGAGGGAGAGTGTGGGATGCTGCGAGGGTAGAGAGGTCATGTTGGCGGCCGGTCTCTTGCGATGGTCGTGGGGTGTGAAGAGTGTTCGATGGCCAGGAGAAGAAGCAACCCTCTCGCTGGTCAGCACCGGGGCAAGGTTGCGAGCAGTCGGACTGAGAGTTCTGCGCGGCAATCGAACGAGGAGACTGTTGGAGCACAGAAAAAAAGCAGTACGGCAAGAAAGCAGTACGGCAAGAAAGCAGTACGGCAGAGGAGAGAGGCGAGACCAAGGGGGATGAGCTCGGGAGATAAGGAAAGGAGGAATGAGGAAGGAGGTGGAAGGAGTGGAGGCAGAAGGTCGGGCGCAGGATGACGATGGTGCGATGATGCTGGAGAGCTAAGGTGCTAAGGCGCTCGGTGCTAGGTGCTAGGTGCTAGGTGTTGGGTGCTCGGTGCTGGGTGCTCGGTGGTCCAACGGGAGAGCTTGCATCAAATGACTCCTGGCGCAGGAGCAGGTACCGACCGACCCCGCCGATTTACCCCGCCATCAGGGACCAAGGGTGCTGCTGCTGCTCCTGTACTACTACTGCTGTTGCTGCTGCCAATACTACTACGTATTTGGACGTGGCTTGGTTTGCCTGCATGAGAGAATCGGCGGAGGAGGTTGCTTGTCCGTGTTGCTCAGATGCCCTGCCTGCAGATCTCCCACGTTTGGGATGGACGTTATGGGTGGAGGTGGTATGGCGTGTTGTGCATCAGACTACGAATGGATCCGGCGTTGACAGATCTCACGAAATCTGGAGGCGGCTGAACATGACACACAAGGGCCAATTGTGAGGTGACTGGTGGTGGAAATGGCGGAATTTTGGATGGAAACGGGCCGGTATGTACTTTTTTCTTTTTTCTCCCACCACCCGCCCTCCCAGGTTCATCTGAACAACAGGAGGAGGCAGCCGGGGAGAGCTCAGAAACCAGCCCCCCACCCCTGAGGCGGCGTAGCGTGCCGGGCGGGGAACGAACGATGCCCCAGTAGTGCTCGTGCTCACGTAGCTATGACGGTGGCACGGCAAATGCAGATGCATCCAACGAATCGAGGGGTGCCGACGCAGGAGGGGAGGGAGGGGAGGGCTGTGGCCGTGGACAGCTGCAGCTGCAGCTCTGCAGAAGCAAGAACAAGCGCAGAGAGGGGCAAGACGGTTCGAGCCAGGGTCGGAGGAGCCTGACCTTGCTTTCGACACATGCTACTGCAAAGCCAATTGACGGGCCCGCCGTGCGGTCGTTTGTCGCGCCAACAAGCAAGTCGACCCTGGAGACGATAAGCTGGGCGACCGGAGAAGTGAACGCGGAGGCGGACGCACCACCCGCGCGGGGGGGAGCGCCGATGGGGACCGATACGGTGTGCCCGCCATCCCCGTCTGAGCTGCCCTGAGCCATTGGGTCCTCCGCGAGAAAGGTGTTGGGTTCGTCGAAACCGTCAGTCCTGACCGGCTCTATGGCAATACCGCCTCGCAGCAGTGCCGGTGACAACCGAAGTCTGTGGGTGCAGAAGCGTGCCTACCACATGGCTCCTGGTTCGTGTCAGCAGTCTGTGTCTTGCAAGGTTGGACAGAGGTGCTCGATGATGAGAGGTATAGGCTCTGCAGACGGAAGCTCGTCGTGCGGCCAGGCCAGAGACACAATGCGTCTCGATATGGTAGTCCGGTACCATGTCTGAGGTTTTGAGGAACAGCCAGTTCCTGTGGTCCGCAGCCTGTGTCACTGGCGCATTGGCGAATGCGAGCAGTGCCGAGATAAGGCAATGTGTTGCTTGCGGGCTTGTGGCTACGATCTAGAGCCTTGTCGCAGCGCAGCAGCTCTCCCACCCCGGCTTGTTTGTGTCACTTGCAGGCGGCACGTCGAGGCACGCTGCAATGTACAGCTGTCACTCGACAATGACGGTGAGCGCTGCAGGCAGGCAGGCAGGCAGGCAGGCAGGCGTGATGAGACTGCTGGGAATGATTGCCAAGGTCAATGGTAGTGAAGCTGGAAGGCTATCAATGAGTGAACGAACAGATAAAAGGCTCACTTGACGTTGAAACTGACGTTGGTGAATGACGTTGAACTCGGACGCCCTGCCACAGGGGAACGAGTCCAGCGATGATCCCCTACCGCTTAGGGGAGGAGGCGCCGCTGATGTACCCGGTACCGCCTCGCTGCCTGGGCCGCTCACCACATGGCAGGTACCAGTTCAATCGCAGCCAGCCATGCACAACTGCAACCCTGAGCTGTCAAAGGGACAGCTATCACCAAGCTCCCTGGACTGAGGGAGGGCCCTTCGACATTCACAATACCACCAACACCAGCTTGTCTCATCACGACAGCCAGCATACACACATTCCCTTGCCCAACACACAGACCCAATCACATTCAGCACATCTGCAGCATGGCCGACGACGAGAAGACAAAGGCCGAGAAGCTTGCTGCCGCGAAGAAGCGCGTCGAGGCCATGAAGAAGAAGAAGAACAAGAAGGCTGGGTCATCCAAGACGAAAGAGGAGGCAGAACCTGCTGCTGCGGCCGAGGCCGAGGCCGAAGCTGCGCCTGCCGAGGAGAAGCTGGAGGAGAAGCCGGAGGTGAAGGCTGACGAAGCTGTCGAGGAGAAGAACGAGGAGGCAGTCGAAGACACCAAGCCCGATACAGAAGAGCCCAGCACCGAAGACCGTCCCGCGTCCCCATCCCAAGCACAACCCTCACTGGCCCAGCAATCCAAATTACGATCAGCTTCTTTCCGCAAGGGGTCTATATCCACCGGTGTCACCGGGCCTCTGTCGCCTGGCCCGTTCAGCCCCGATGGCGAGTCGGCAACCGACATTTATCGAAAGCACGTCACACGCATAGAGGAGCTGGAGAAGGAGAACAAGCGGCTCGCCAAAGACGCCACGGAATCGGAGAAGCGATGGAAAAAGGCTGAGGAGGACCTTGCCGACCTGCGTGAGGAGGACGGCGACGCCAGCGCGAAGCCGCCTGCGTCGGACGAACAGGTCGACAAGCTCGTACGTCTATCACGGGCAGCCTGCTGCCTTGTTTTTGCCGCCCCATCCACACATGTTGCTGACACGATCCATACACACAGAAGTCTGAAATCGCGGCGCTCGAGCGCCAAAATTCCCAGCTCCAGCAGCAAGTCTCCCGGGGCACGGCACGTCATGGATCCTCCCCGTCGTCCACCACGGGCTCGCCGCCCGCCGTCGCCGAGCTTGAAGCCCGCCTGATCGATAAGTCAGCCACGATTGAGACGATGGAGCTCGAGATATCCAAGCTCCGCGCCCAGCTCGAGCGCAGCACCTCGGACCGCGAACAGATCCCCGCTCTCGAAGAGCGGGTGGCCCGCTCGGAGAAGGCCGCCGGCTTCGCCCAGGGGGAGTTCGCCGACTTCCGCCGCAACCTCGACCCGCACCGGCCAAAAAGGCCGTCCGGCGAGGGCAGCGAGGGCACGAGCCCCGAGACCAAGTTGCGCCCCCTCGGGACCAACCTCGCGAGGCATTCCCGGGGGCCTCAGGCCCAAAAAAAAGCCGAGGGTTGAGAAGAAGTGGCCCACGCTGACAACGCTGCCAAAAGAGCAGACGCGCGGCCGCAGGCATAGCCCCCGACCAAGGAAGCGCCCGGAGAAGGAGGCATCGAGTCCAAGACCAAGGTCGAGACCTTCGACGCAGGGGCCCACCCTTCGAGCCGCAAGTCGCCGAGGGCGGGGCGGCCTCGAGACGAGGCGTCGAAGAGCTCGAGACAAGAGGCCTACGCCTGGAGAAGAAGGTCCGCGAGCTCGAGAGCGAGAATCACGACCTGCGCGCGGCCTGTGGCAGGACAAGAGGCGCCAGCTCAGCGGCGGGCAGGACGTCGCGAGTCCCGGGGGCGGCTTCCAGGACGTCGACCTCGGCGGCGCCTCGCCGCTGGCCGGGCGCAAACACGGCCAGCACGGTGGCGGCGGGCTCGGGGATTTCTTCCAGAGCGGCATCAACGCGCTCACGGGCCACGGCGGCGACGAGGACGGCTTCCTCGAGGATGACGATATGGACTTTGATGAGGACGCGTTCCGTCAGGCGCAGGCCGACGATGCCAAGGCGCGGCTCGAACGCATCAAAGATATCAAGCGCGGGCTCAAGAACTGGGAAGGCTGGAGGCTGGATCTAGTGGAGATCCGCCGGGGCGGGGAGGAGGGCCACGGAGAAGTGTTCGAGGTGTAGGCTGCCTAGTGTCTTGCCTACATTTCATGACCCCTACCTAGTCCCTGGACAGGGCCTTAGCTATGTACTGTGTATGATGACACGCTTGATCGAATGGTCACTTGTCTCTGTCGCGCCAGTGAAGATGTGCATCGCTTCGCCCAGGGAACATTGCCAAGGATGCGATACGTTGCCCAGCTCGTCGTCACTTCATAAACTGCAATGTCCGCATGTGTGTGTGTCATCGCAGCCCGCCTCCGTCACAGGAGGGGGCGTGTCTTGTTCGCTACTCAGGGGAGATGGTCTAATCGTTACAGCAAGTAAAAAAAAAACATGTTATCCGACACGGGACAGGCTTCGCCAACGCGGGGCCTCCATCCAAAAACAAAGTGCTGAACCAACCCAGCCGCCGGCCGGCCAAACCCATACATACAAGATTGGTGTGTCTGCAGGAGAGAAGGGGGGATATCATTGCGAAGCCAGATGCCGTCCTGTGCCAGTTTGCCTGTCCACCAAACGCCTGGCCCTAACACAGCCGGAGAGAAGAGACAGAGAGAGAGCGGGGGAGAGGAAAAGAGAGAAAAACAAAGCATTAAGTGTAGTGTGGTGGCTCCTGCCGAACCATCCCTCGCAAGAAAAGTGAGGGAGAACTGTAAACGCCATGTCCATGCATCGTTTCGTGAGGGAAGAGGAGATTTGCCTTTTCCCCTGAAAGTCTAATAATTGCCGCTTGGGTGATCGCGGCAGTGCTGGTGAGGGGCGTTTTCATAGAATCGTGGGGGAGAGTCGAGAGGTGGATATACAGAGTCGCCGGGCGGGATGTCCTACATCATGGAAGCCGTGGGGGCGTTCAGAACAGACGTGTCGACGCCAAGGCCAGAAACATCAAGATTGCCACCGCGCAGCGTCTCTTGCAACTCAGCGATCTGCGCCATCATGGCAAGGCTGTGCTGCGACTGCCGGTCGATCTGGTCGCGCAGCTCCTCGTTCTCCATGCGTACGCGCTTGATCTCTTCGCGCAGATCGTCATAGGGGTCTGACGCCGAGTTCTTCCGCGAGCGCTTGCGCTTCTGTCCGGCCTTCTCGCTGTCGCCATCGCTGGTGGCAATGTCGTCGCCGATGGGTGTCGAACCGTCCTGCGTGTGTACTCGGCGGAGGTGCTCATTGAGGTTCTCTTGCCGCGAGAAGCCCTTGCCTGTGTGCCTCTTGCAGTTGGGGTGTGGGCAGTTGACAGTGTTCTTGGGACCGCCGTGCTTCCCGTGGACCTCGCGCTCGTGTCTCAAAAGACCTCCGGAATAGGTGAATCCGGGCAGCTTCTCACAACCCTCAGCGGCGCATCGGTACGGGCGTTCGTGTTTGTCCATGTGCTTGCTAGAGAAGGGAGTAAAACGTCAGCATACCTCTTCCTCAGACACACAGAGAATAGGCGCGTTCGGCCACTGCTTACCTCCATTCGCACTTGCGACCGAAGACCTGTGTGTCTTCGGTGCATCCAGGGAACGTGCAGTAGAACTTTCCGTCTGCCTGCTTATGAACCTCGCGATCCGGCTTTGGTATACATTTGCTGCGCAGAGATGATGCGCCATGGTCCAAATCGTCCTTGCCGCCGTTCGAGGGTAAAGTTTCGGGCATCTGGGAGGCTAGGGTCGCCATGGTCGGAGCGGGAGGCAGCGTGAGCTCGCCAGCATCGGTAACCAAAACTCCATCGCCACCCAGCGCATCAGATATGATGGAGCGGTCATCGCCGAGCATCGAGGCTGATGGATTGTAGGCGTCTAGGCCAGAGACATCGGGCGAAGCGTATTGAAGACGGGTATCAACGTCATGGTCCTGGTCGGGATCTCCGATCGGGGGATAGGAGGGGTCGTGCATGAAGCTACGAGGCTCGTAGACAACACTCATCATGACGGGCCACCAGGTGAGGCTTCTGTCTGCGTGATGACGATGCCGTGAAAGGTAGGGGGGACGGCTGCGCGTGTCGCGTCGGATGAAGCTGGAGATGATCCAGCTACGATGAAGGCCAGACCAGTCTGGAAGAGTGGCTGAAGCCAGGAAGCGAAGGAACGGTGATGAGGTCGAGGTCGTGGTTGACAGGGCTCGTGGGATAATGTTCTGGAGCTCCAACAATTGATGGAGATCTGTCTGGGGTCTGGAGTAAGGCTTGCTGACTGGCAGGTGCAGGGTCGAGGCTGGGTTTGCCTGAAAAATCTGGTGTTGACTGGCATGCGCTGGGACTGAGCCACAATGGATAGGATTTCTAATCACGGAGAGATGAGATCACGTGACTTCGCGCCACCCACCCGTATGCCGAAAGCTGCAGTGTGCTCACAGAGGTGGATCGAGGGACGCTTTTTTGTGGAACAAACTCTCTTTCTCGCAGTGCGAAGCAGGAGCTCTTATCAAGAACTCGAGAATTAGGCTGTCAGCGCCTTGCTGGTCATCACGAGCCTCGCACCTACTACGCCGTTGGAACAGAGCATGTCACGACTCGGCGCTGGAGCGCTGGCCGTGACTCACGTAGCCGAGCTTGCCCATGAGGCCGCCTTGGCTGGCCGTCTCTGCCTGATCCTCCGCCTAGCTGAGATTCAACATGCGGCGCGTGACCTCTTCGCAACGAGGACTCGAGGACTGAGCACATCGCAGTGTGGCAGCCTATGGTTTTGTTAGCATCCGGCCCCCACGAAATTTTCTGAAGCGCCTTACCTGCCTGCAAGGATCAGGAAGCCGCCTTGCCTGTTCTGCCTATATTCCTCTGTAAAGATGCTCGCCGTTGGTATAGTTTGCCGGTCGATGTTGAAGGGGTGTGGTGAACTCGATGCACATTGCGATGCATGAACGGGCACGCTATGGCTGCCGCGAAGACAACTTGTCGAGGTCGAAGATCCAGGCTGATGGCGATGCCTATGGTCATCAATGCGCATGCCTGAGGCTAACAAGCAGTGCCAGAGAAATAGGTTGGTTCATTTTGCCTCTTGGCCGAAGAGAGCTTCTTTACGTGATAGCTGTCGCCTTGCCCGGAAAACCAGGCCAAGAACGCCAAAATAATGGCCCGCCTGAGGCATGATTATGGGTGCCTAAGACACCATCACCATGGCCAAGGGGGAGACCCCGGCTGCGTGAGCCTCTCCCACAGCAAAGTGCAAAGACGGTATAACTGAGGTGAGGCCAGAACAAAACAGGGACGTGGCAGCTGCTCACGAAGCCGAGAGGGTTGATATGCATACAGCGCCCATGAGGCCTCGTTCAGTAGGTCAGACACGCCACTCAACACGCAGATGAAATTACCATCCAACTCTGAAGCCCATCTGTTGCAACGCCGTTTTACAACAAAGAAAAAGCCTTATGACCGAGGTCGTGTGTTGCCAATGGCCCCGGTGTACCATGGCACAAGGCGCGGTGAGTCGACCCGAAGTTTAGGTGATCTCTCGGAGGTCGGCCAGCCCCCGCCCTTGTCTCGGACCTGGGGACAGAGAAACAAATGTGGAACCGAACAGAGCTCCGGGTTGATAGCGAAGAAACAGGCCAAAGAGTTTTTATTCCCGGGCCAGAGGAGGGATTAAAGCTCGCTCTTGGACGTCTTGGCAGGGTAGCCTCGGGGTCTGGCCCGGTGGCCATGACTGGATAGCGTGTGTTGAGACGTGGGACTTGAACAGGCGGCTGCCGAGCGCGAGGGGCCATTGGCAGAATCTGTTCAAGATGGAGCCAGCGCGCAGTCGGCGAGGGGCATACACTCCTGGTGAGGAAAGGTGGGATGGAGATGTGAAGGTGTTGGGGTGTTTGGGGTGCTTAAGCCGAGCTGTGCTGTATGTTCTGGGCCACCCACTGTGCTGTAGCTGCTGCGACTGCTGTGACTGCCAAAGTTTAAATGCTCTTGGGCTCCGCTCCACGACGACTTCATCCTTTTTTTTTCTTCCTCCACAGTATCGTGACTCTCATCGATTTGTCTGACTTCATCAGACCTCGCCGTCCTGCCCCCTTCTCACCTCCAAATCACTTCACATTCATTCCGCTCACGGGTCTCGTGCCTGCTGAAACGAGCCCTGTTCTGCCACTTCACACAGCACCTTCAACAGGATCTATCTGCTTGCCCGCAATATCAATTTGGAGTGGCCAGAAAGGACAACAGCACGCACTTCCATTGCTTTGAAGTCCAAGTATGGCTGACATACCAAACCCGTCGAGCGGTGTCGACAAGCATGTAGACAATTGCCGTTCCAATACTCCTGATCTGGGGGATCAGGAGCAGTCGGCAGGCTCGCAGCGTGGACCTGACGAGGAAGACTACGACCTTGAGACGGTCGAGCGTGTATACAGAAAGCTCGACTTGCGCATCATCCCAGGTACGTGCAATCCATCTGCAGGCCCTGATACAATGGAAATCGTTATCTGACAGAAAGTTATAGCCTTTTGGTGTCTTTACTTCTTGTGCTCTGGCCTTCGCTCGACCATTGGTATGGCACAGACAATGAACCGAGAGGACGGACACGATCTCATGACCGTCTTGAACCTCACGCCAAAGGACACCTCCACCGCCTTGGCTCTGTTTTATGTTGCCTACGTCATCTTTGACTTTCCCTCCAACCTCGTCATGAGCAGGCTCAGCCCTCGTGTTTGGATGGCCCGTATCGTCATTGCTACTGGCATCATTGGCGCCTGCTTCGCTGCTGTTCAGGCTGCATGGAGTCTCAAGTCAGTTTAAACACCGACGCAGCCCTTCTATTCGGACCTAAAAAACTAACATTTGTTTCAAGACTGCTTCGCTTCTTGCTCGGTTTCGTCATTGCAGGCATGTGGCCCGGCATGTCCTACTACCTAACTTTGTTCTACCCCCTTCACGTACCGGCAAGAGGATTGGCATGTACTTTACCGCAGCTCAGCTTTCGGCTGCCGTGGTCGGCCTCGTTTCAGCCGGCTTCCAGCTCATGGATGGTGTAGGAGGCCTCGTCGGCTTTCGATGGATGTTCCTTCTGTATGGCCTCATTGCCATTGTTCTCGGCATCTCGCTCTTATGGTGGCTGCCCGACCGTCCCCTGCCCCCTGGCCAGACACGCCCCCGGAACAGCTGGTTCAAGTGGCTGCCAGCCAGTCCTGAGGCTTTGAAGGGGCACGATGCCGTTGTTCACTACCACGACCTTCGCCGCGTGTACAACCCTCGCCCATGGACCTACCACGATCTCCTCCAGGTCCTCATCGACTGGCGCCTTTGGCCTCTTGTCTTCATGTACTTTGGCGTTGTTGGTGTCGGCATCGGCACCCAACTGTACGGGTCTGTCATCATTGCCTCCATCGTCCCGGATGCCTCCAGCGTTGAGGTCAGCCTGCTGTTCGCTCCCATCTGGATTGTGAGTTCATTCGCCCACCTCTGTACTCATCGTCGGCCCCTGACTAACGTGTCTGTAGATGGATTTAATCGCAATTGTTCTCATTATGCCCCTCTCGGACCGTTTCCACCGCTACCGACCTTTCATCTTCTCCGCCGCCGTCTGCCTGCAGATTGTTGGCCTTTTGGTCGTCACATTCGCCCTGGACAATGGCTGGGCTCGCTACGGCGGACTCCTCATGGTCGGCTTCGGCCTGGGGCCGACTGTCCCCAACTGTATGACATGGGCCAACGAGATTTTCCAGCACCGCCACGGCGAGGTCGGTGTGGCCGCTGCTGCTGCTCTCGTGTCTGGCCTCGGTAACCTCGGCAGTATCGTCACTACTTATGCCTTGTACACTGGAATGGCCCGAAGACGCTGCACCTGGCCGTTACAGGTACCGTAAGAGCAACTTTGCCATGATTGGCATTCTCTGCCTCAGCATCGCCAGCAGCTTCCTCATGATGATCCTCCTGCGAGTCTGTGGAAACGAGCGCACCAACAAGATCCCTAGCGACAGCGCTAGCGAGTTTGAGGATGGTGCTGCCAGGCGTGAACGCCAACAGAGGGGCCTCGGCAAGATCATTCCCTTTGGAAGGTCTCGCCAGGCCTAGTAGCATCATTGCTTCAAACGGCGGTAGACCTTCGTCTGTAGGTTTGACAACGACGACAGACTTGCAGGCAAAGAAGACCTACCGGACCGCAGCCGACGATTCGACCGTCGGCCTCGATTTTCCTACTTCACATTCTGGGAAACTGACTTCTCCCCTTTGACTTTCTGCATTTGCACTTATCATGTCGGCACTACACTCTCCTCACCTGTTGCGGTATGCCTTTTCATTCGAAATGAGACACCAACTACTTTTCGACAGCAACAGTGCTTCTACGCCATTGCTGGGAATAGGCCTGCTTGACTGGAGACGGCGGCCGGCGAAAACGCTTCCACGCTATCGCTTTTCGGGTCCGTCTCGGGAGAACAAAAAAAGGGAAGGAAAAGCAGCCTCACTGAGGTTGTAGGCGGCTTTGCGATTTTTTTGTTTTGGTTTTTTATTTTGGTCGCTATGATACCCCATATGTGTTTGGATACGTTGTCTGTTCGAGGATTATCGGCGGCGAAAGTGCTTCTACGCCATCGCTGGGACGGCGTATTGGACCGAGTACAGTGCCGGCGACAATGCTCCGCGCTATCGCTCAGGCCTGTCTCGTGGGCATTGCTTTCTTGCGGCTCTGGTTTTACAAGAGCTCTGTTTCTCTCTCTCTATCAACCTCCCGAACCCGCATCTTGCCTCCGGGGGGGGGGGTTTCACTTGGGGGATGCAAATATTTCAGTCGAGAATATATTTGATGTTCTCCAACAGAAGGCTCTTGTCGTGAGACGAAGTGTTTCTCGAGTGGAAAAGGTCGCCAACCAGGTGAAATTGTCTTCTCTGCGAAGGAGGGAGAACAGCTGGCACATGTGGTCTCTCTTGAGCATCGGCACTGTCCAAGCCGGGGGTTCTGTTGGGCAGTGTCGTGCACGAGGACCGATGGTGGATCCAAAGGATTCTGACACAATGCATCATGCTATTCAGCCCTATGACAAGCCTTGAGCTTGAGGTCTTGTCAGCAGGGGCCTGCTAAGAGAGTCCTAGCTTCATATTGCGGTGCGTCCTGGGATGCGATCCATTTTCCACTTGGTGCTGCGCCGAGAAATATGGCTTCTTGCTGGTACCTTGGTCGCCTTGGGTGGTTCCAGGCAGCATGAGGTAGGGGCAGGCAGCCACATCAGAAACGTCCAGGCACCCACCCACAGGCGATTCTTCCACAAGCACATTGCCAATAACAGCAGATTAATCGTCTTGTCAATTGACTATAAGACGCAGCGCGCATCCGGGAGTTTTGCCCTTGTCATCCAGAGCATCCAGCCAGCTACCTTGCTGCACGAACAATACCCCGCGCGCCGCACTCACCTTCCAATGTCTACATCAACAACACCCCCCCTTCCCCACGATCCCAAGCCCCACGTCCCCTACCTCACATCGTACGACTCCCTCCCCGTCTCTCTCCCCGCCGACTTTCTCACCTCCGCGCCGCCCAAGACCGTCACAGCGTCCCCCATAGACTGGCCCTCGACCCCGCTCCCCGAATGGCAGGGCCGCCACGCCACGGTCCTCGACAACGTCCTCACGCCCCAGGAGTGTGCGCTTCTCCTGGCCCTCGCCGAGCGCAGCGCCACGGACCAGTCCCGCCCCTGGCAACCGGCCATGGTCAACATTGGCGCCGGCCGCGAGGTCCTGGAACCCGAATACCGGAACAGCGACCGCATCGTCTGGGACGAGGACGAGGTCGTGCGTCGGCTCTGGGCGAGGGTCAGGCTCGCGCGGCACGCCGACGGCGCGCCATTCTTCGCCGACGAGGGGCCCCTGGCGTGGGCGTCGGGGGATGCCGTGGACGGCGGGTGGCGGTTCTGGGGGCTCAATCGCAGGATGAGGTTCCTGAAATACGGGCCCGGGCAGTTCTTCCGACGTGAGTACTTCCTCTGCTTCGCGTCGTCTACCGCCGTGGAGCGGGCGAAACGCGAGACGCGAGACTGACGAGACGACAGCACACTGCGATGGGACGTACGAGGAGGCCTCGGGGGGACGGTATCTGCGGACGTATTACACGGTGCACTTTTACCTCAACGACTCGGTGCAGGCTGTTGGCGATAACGCCGGAGCGGATCTCAAGGGCGGCGCGACATGTTTCCTTTCGTACGACGAGAAGAGGAGGCTCGATGTCGACCCCAAGGCGGGGCGGGCGCTCATTTTTCAGCACCCGCGGATGTACCATGCGGGCGACGACGTTTTGGCGGGCACAAAGTACACGATGCGGACAGAGATGATGTATGAGCTGGTAGACGGGGTCGCAAAGGACAAAGATGATGCGGAGCTGGCTTGAGATATAGCTGTGCAAGATATGTACAGATAGGGGCTTGCTGGGCAAGGAAGCTGGGGAAAAGGGCGGTATTGGCAACGGCATGGAAGATGCTGATAGCCATGGTCCATCACAAACGATCCAGCGTCAAGATGTCATCTGGTGTTTCCTCCCCCGCGTCGAACACATCAACAAGAGAAGACTGAAAACAGTTCAAAGCCGCGCTTGCTCTCCCGAACGAGCTCCATCAGCCTTGTTCGCGCCCACCCTCTTCACGAAGTCGAGCACGCGCGTGTAGTAATCACTCGTCTTGGAGTGGGCGGCGAACATGTAGAAGCAGTGCGGCATACCCTGGTAAGTCTGGAGCTCCGTGGGGACGCCCTCGGCCTGGAGGCGTTCGGCGTAGGCGATGCCCTCATCGCGCAGAGGATCGAGACCGGCGACCTGAACAACTGATGTTTTTCGTCTACATCAGTAACTGGTATCAAAGTACAAAAGTACAAGAGGACTCTGTACTCACGCGCTGGAGGCAACCCCTTGAGCGTCTTCGCCAGCAAGGGCGAGTGATCTTGGTGCGGCTGGGGATCTGGCAGGTAGAGGTCCAGGAAGAACTCCATGCGGCGCGCGCAGACGACGGATGCGTCATAGTTCTGCTGGTAGCTCCCGTACTCGTACTTGTCCGCCGGGAAGAACTTGGGGTGGCAGGTGACGGGGAAGTTGAGGATTTGTCCCCGCACACCGGTCATGCCAGCATCGCGGGCCTTTTGAGCAATGACGGCGGCGATACCGCCCCCTGCAGAGCCGCCGATGAAGATGATGTTCTCGGGGTCAGCGCCGAGAGAGACAGCGTTCTTCTTGGCCCATTTTGCCGCATCCCAGCTGTCCTCGATGGCATAGGGGAACTTGAACTCGGGCGCCCTAGTCCTTGTTAGAGACGGACGCGTCTTCTCAACCGGCCAGGTTGTTCGCAGTGGACAAGGTGACTCACATCCGGTAATCCACGCTCACGACAACCACGTTTCCCAGTCCCGCCATGAGCAAGCTCTCAGGCTCCTCGGTCGAGTGTCCTCCAACCGCCCATCCGCCTCCGTGAAACCGAACCGCCAGGGTCGCGCGGTCAGTCGTCGGTCTTTTGCTTTTGTACATCTTGACTCCGATCTGTGTGCCATCCCGCACGGGGATCGTGCGCATCTCGGTCATCACATCGACACCCTCCAAAGGGCAACCCTCGGGTGCCGGGGGCGGAGCCATCCATGCGGCCTTGAAAGCGTCCATGTCCAAGCCGGGCTCCCACATGGGCGCGACTGCGGCGTCTGTTGCATCCTTCACCTTGGCAAACTCAGGGTCAATCGTGGAGAGATGTCCGTTCTTAGGGAGCGGTTTGAAGTTTGGATCAAGGGTCACATAATCTGCCTTGGACTTGAGTTGAACCATGATGGGCGGACGGGGAATGGTTTTGACCTGAGGTGCTCCAAGCTCCTTGACACGCAGAGATGTACTGTTGAACGATATGTGTGTCCCGTCGTCGAGATGGAACTTACAGAAGGAATGTAGATGCGATCGACAGGATGATGCATCGAGGGACAAAGGAGCACACGCGGCACTCTTGTATCACGGCGGCACGAGCATGTCTTCCAACAGGCAAGTCAGGCCCGAGAGGACAAGTCCCCTGGCACTAGTCATGAACAACGAGTTGTTAGGTGTTGTGGGGGCATGGCGTCTGGGGAAGATGGCAAACGGGAGGTTCCTGCGGTGTCCGGAAAACGCTTGCCAGTACGTGTTGTCTCGGTGAAGATATACACCATCAGGGGGGGCGCACCGACAGTGACAGGGCACCACCCACTGGACGCAACAAGTTAAGATTGAATCAAAATCAACTTGAGCTGGCTTTTCGCCATGTCAGTAATGGCACCGCGAGTGAAACAATCGAATTGATAAAGCAAAGAGTTTGTGACGTTTTCACGAAACTCAAGTGACGGCGTAGGTTTGCCATTGTCGGTTATCCTTCTCCGTAAAGGCGAAGTCAGACAGACGCCCGAGGGGCGTGCGGGTGCGGGGTTTGGTGTGTGGCAGAATTCCCCCAGCTGTTTGCCAAGGCCCTGCCCTCGTCGCGACCTCGACACCAAAGCCCCATGTCTTTTGGTGGGACGGATCTTGAGGATGCCGACATGGATGTGCGTTCGTGGTGTCCTCGAAGTTTGGGCTTCGAATCACGATTCTCACCTCACGCTCTTCGGATCGCCCAACCTACCACCTCATCATCAACCACGGCCTCAGGCCCCCCAAGTGACGGCCATGGCCTTGAACACCTTGCAGTCCACCTTGTGCCCGCCCTCACCCCAGTCCTTCTTCTGACACACCTATACATCATCAGCCATTGCCCTCCCCTTCTCCTCATCATCAGAATCAGACGAGGGGCCAAGTCTCGATAGCTTACCTTGCTGCAATACCTCGCGCGCCCACAACCCGTGCATCGCATGAGCACATCCCCCTCCGTCTCCTCCTTCTCGCACCCCGCGCAGACCGCCGCCTCGCCCCCGCGCGCCGCCTCGCCGAGCTGCCGCCCGAGGTCGAGCACCCTCTCGAGCCCCGCCGGCAGGTAGTGCACGCCCGTGCCCCGGCCCTCGCCGACGCGCACGAAGCCGCGCTTGCCCTCGGCCGGGCTCGTGCGCGTGGCGCCCGGCACGACGACGGTCCAGCCGCTCTTGACGGGGCGGAGGTCGATGCCGCGGTCCTCGAAGGTGATGGCAAAGTCGGCGCCCGCGCGGTCTGTCGCGATGAGCGTCGGCTTTCGTGATGGTCATTGTTCTGCTTGACCTCGGCCAGGAGAAAGTGCGTCGTCGTGGCGGGCACGGGAGTGTACGTGGGCCGCGCTGCCGCGTTCGGGCCGGTCCGCCCGGCGCGTAGGGTGGCGGGTCATTGGACTTCTTGGATGGCGGAGGGGGGACGTTGGACCGAGAGGGAGATCGCGAACGCAGGGAAGACGGCCGGGGCGGTGAAATCTGGAAGCGGCATCGTGTGTGTGTGTGTGTGTGTTTATGTAAATATGTGTGGTGAGACGTGAGGTGTGAGGCCCGAGAGTGATGTACCGGAAGACGTGGGTTCGCTGATGAGATGACTCAAGCAGCTGACGACTGCTTTGTCAACCTATAGAAAGTATCTGTAAGCGGACGATCAAATGTTGTGATCTTGCCGTTGGTAATAATCCCCCATCGAGTCTTGTAGACGGCGGATGAAGTAGCAGTTCTGTAGGAGATAGGCAGCATCTTTCGTCAAGACAATGCCCCCAAGTGAAACGACTTGGCGCCCGGGACGCGACGAAAGCCCCACAACGGAACTCTTTGTCAAGTCGCCGCAATCTTCGCTATGCTCTCAGAAAGCCGTTGCTTCTGTCACCTCCCCCACTTCACCATTCGGACAGCGGCACAAGATATTGACAATGTATTCATACGAAAGTAGGACTCAAACCTTCCGAGTCCTTTCTTGCTTGTTGGGGGACACCGCCCCATGCGAGTACCCTGACAGCCTCAGATCAACGCCATTGACAGAAGAGGGCCAAATTTCAACTTTCATGTATTCCAACGCCAATACGCCCCGCCCTATTCCGCATGAGAAAGAACATGAGAAAAGAATAACCTCGTTCACCTTCTCTCAAGAAATCACCTAGGCGTCGCCCACGCTCATCCACGCCCACGTAGAGAGGGCTGTTGCCAGAACCATGAACGTCAAGATGCCGGCACCGGCTCTGTCGCCCATCTTTATCGGCTTGTGGTGATCCATAATGTCTTGCGAGTCCGCGCCCGCGTTGAAGTCCCCCTTGGAGGTACCGCCCGTGCTGTTAGTCAACGGAGCCTTGGCGCTGCCGATGAGGAGTGAAGACACGGCGCTCATTACGTTCATCGTCTGGCCCGCACCCGTCTTGCCGTCGTACTGGCCAGAGTACCACTGGAATCCGCACGTGCGTCCGTCGGTGCCGCCGGTGCATTGAGCGATTGCCTTCTCCGCCGAGTTGCGAAGGACCGGAAGAATCGTGTCTGCCGTGAAGGGGGCCACCTGCGTCATGGTCGAAAGCCAGCGGGCGACGTAGCCTTTGAACGACAGCATGTCCGTCGTGCAGCTCATCTTCTTTTCGCATGCAACCTCGTACGCAATGTTGTTAGGGAAGAAGACCTCAATAGTCCTCTGTAGAAGGCCCTCGATACGTGTCTTCCACTTCGCGTCACCGTCGGTCTATCTCAGGTCAGTACTCGCTCTCGCTCCAACCCGTATTCGTCCGTGAGGGAGGGAGGGGGGGACGGCAAGTGACGTACATAGTTGTACATGTGGGCGGCGCCCAAGAGGAAGACGCCGTTGTTGTAAGAGAACTGGGCCTTGTTGATATCGGTACAATTGTGCTCGACGTGGCCGCCGTCGTAAATGTTGTATTCAGAGTCGATGAAGCCGACGCTCGTCATCCAGTCCCACGTCTTGTCGGCCCAGTCTGCGTACGTCGAGTTCTTGGTGTAGCGCGCGAGACGGGCACCAATGTTGAAGAAGCAGCCGTTGGCGATACCTGCGAAGCTGTCAGTCTCTCACAGATGCTCCATATGAGATGAAAAGTATGAGATGGAGGTTCGCCATACTGTTCTTGTAGTTGTAGCCGTTGTTGGCGAAAGGAATCTGCCATCGCAAGCCGCCGCCACACGTCTCATCGTGTCGATCGGGCGAGGCTTGTGTGTGGAATACGGCCTGGGCGAGCGACAACCACTGTGGCTCCTCCTCCGGCGGGTCAGGAAAGCCGACTTCGGCAGCCAGCATGGCGGTCATGCCCCAGAAGCCTTGATCGTCGTTGCCGAGGGACATAGTGACGTTGCTTGGCATGTAGTCGCGGCCTTCGCCGACCTGCCAAAGCATGGCTTGGGTGATGATGTCGTTGTACGTGTCGTCGCCCGTGAGGTGCCAGTAATCGATCAGGGCTCCCCACATTGCGCCGGCCTCCCACCAGTAGTAATCACCTGCCGGAGGCGGACCGGCAGAATGCAAGGGGTTTGGCTTGTCTCGTTGCCGTGATAGTATGCCACCAAGTCGGGAGCAAGGGTCTTGGCCGCACTCCGGGTTCCTCTTCCGATTTGTTCCCTTAAAAAAACTCCTTAAACAATCTGCACCGGAATTTGGGCCCCCACGAACGCGCCTCCGAAAGAGCCCTTCAATGAGAACCTTGTTTTTTATTACTTGTTGAAATCCAGTTGAAGGGGAAAGTGAAGAGACGAGAGGAGAGTTGATAAACGAGTGACTAGATTAAAGACAAGACTAAATTCAAAGATGCTGCCGATGAGTATGTCGACAGAAAAGTGCAGGGAAAGCCTGAGACGGGGAAAGGTTAAGACAGGTGAAGATGGGGGGAAGGGAGGTCAAGAGATGGTAAAGAGTGGAGGAGACCTGGAGATGAACAAGCTCTGGTAAGGCAGGAGGAGGGAGAGGAAGGAGACTGAGACAAGAGGCAGAGAAGGGACAGAGAAGGAGGATCCGGGCTACCATAGTAGAACGGCGTACATGGTATGACGACTGATCAGGTAGGTACCGTCGGGGGCTACCTGACGACTACCTGTTGGTCATGTACCTGATTCGGGGGAGGCCCTCCTCCCCCCCTCCCCCCCGGCCTCAACATGGGCAGGAGAAAACCAGTTCGTAGGACTCGTAATCGTCTCTCCCTTCAGCCTGTAAAAGTGCGCGATGGGCGACATGGTGCGGCCATGGACAGGGGACCAGCGGCGGTGGAATGTGGGTGCCTCTGTGCCGAGTTCCGGGTGTGCCTGCCAATGCTGTCTCTGTCGCGCTTGCCTGCCCTGCGCCTGCCCGTCCCAGCTTTTTCGAGGGTCGGCCCTGCCTTTTCCGTAGGGTGGCCAATGGGCACCGCGCCAAGGCCTCTGACTGGCAAGAGAAGCCTGCCAAGCATCTGCCAGTGGTCTTGGTCCCGTTGCTTGGCGATCTCTCAGTGCCCTGAACCCCTTGTTCTTTCTGCCCTGTCGCTCGGCGGTCGGGTTTCTTCATCATCGTCCCATCAATTGACCCTCAACCCCCTCCCACCATCGTCGTGCCGCTCGTGCGTCCGCAGTTGTTGACCGCACGACGAACGACCTGAGAGCATGTCGACGTACATTCGGGGAACGGGGATGAAAAGGGGGCAGGCCGCGCCCTAGATGGCGCGTTCGAGACCACGTTCCAGCGAGTGAACCTGGCTTCCAGCCAATCATGGACCTACTCACCCCCCCAGTCGGTGGCTTTCTCGTGCTGTGAGCATCGACTTTTAAGCTTGTTATGCTGCTATCAATACCATGCGCCAACGTACAGTATCTCAGCACCCGGTACTCTACCATGCATCTGGCATGTGTACCTGCAAAGTATCGCTGCGCAGAGAGGATACCTCGGGCCATCCTCCTCTGAGCGTAGCCTGCCAGCCGTCGTGCCATCAGCCGTCCCTCCTCCACCAACCTCCCCTTCGCCCCCGTTACCCCTGAATATCTGAATGCCGCTGCCGCGATCATAAGAATGGATGTTCGCCCATCCTTGGCCTCGTCTGAGAACGCTGCGTTGGACACGCGACATGAACATACCCTCACGCACCGAACACACGTCCATTGGTGTTGACATGCAGCTCAGCCTAAAAGCTGAGTCAACAGAACTTGTCCCTGGGCCTATACTGCCGCGCCGGGATCTGTGGAGTCAGCCGTCTTGGCACAAGACTTGGCACTCGAGATCCTCCTTCAGCAATTGGGATGGGCTGTGCATGCATGGCACGCGACATTGGCGGCTGGGGTACGGGGGGCTTTTTTTCAACTACATCTCCCTCATGAACAGCGCGAAACAGTCGACTCCTATGACGACAAAGGGCTTTGGTCGTCTCCCGAGTTCTCCTTGCGGGAGAAAGTTCAGTTCAAAGGTGCGTGGGTACTCAGCTCCTTTCGCGCTCGCCGGCCCGAACGCGCGCCCCCCTCGTCCCCCCCTAATTTTAGGAGCGCACGGGAATGTACCGGCTGCGACGGCACACAGTTACGCGTGATTTCGTCGGATTGGCCGCGAACTCAATTGCTCGAGTATATGCACGTGACACACAATGCTGCAGGGTCGCCTTAGTCAGAACACGAAGTACTGTACCGTTTGCTTCCTCTGTCGAAATGGAATGACACCTTGGCCCCAGCACTGTGTTTATTCCGTCACTCAAGACATGTCGCATCGCCTCACATAATAAGCGTCGCACGAGTTGAAAAAAAAAATTAAAAAAAAAAAGCCAAATGATTGTGTGGGCGCTATTCTAGCACCTAAGCCAAGAAGATAAAAAGACGTACACCAGACGGTGCTGTCCTCATAATCCAGTTGTACACCAACGCCGCTTTCACCACCCATCCTCGCCTACCTACCTACCTACCTACCTACCTACCTACCTACCTAGGTACCTAGGTACCTAGATACAGCAAACGATCGTCTGATCATACCTCGTTTCGCGACAATAAAACCCACAGACAGGTTTATAGGTATAAGTGGGAAAGCAAACTCTTAGTTGGAAGAAATCAAGGACCCGGGAATAACTCCATCGCTCAGAGAGGGAGGACTGGAGACTCAAGAGCTTATCCTCATGAAGAATCAGAAATGTACATCGCTTGCTTTATGCTTATCCATTGTCGTCGTCGTCGTTAAATGTAAGAAATGCGGGCACCAGCAACAGCGACGTTCCAAGACACATGGTCGTTGTCGTAGACGCCGACGAGCTCAAAAGCTTCGACGGTGCCGGGGGCCTTGCAGGGCGTGCGCTTGGTCAGGTAGGAGCTGTACGTGGCATCCCAGGTAGCGAGGCCGCCGCGCTGCACCGACATGCGGCCGAGGTTGACATTGCGTTGGTTGCCGGGAGCCCAGCCAGACGTGCAGCCGGGAGCGGGGGCCAGGCTGGTGTAGAGTCGACCTTCTTGCTGCCGTAGAGAGAGGCGCTCTCGTCGAGGAAGAACTCAAAGAGGCACTGCTTGCCGGTGACACCTCGGGATAGGTAAAGGTCATGAGGGTGGTGGAAGTCGCGGCCCCTGTTGTCGGTGGCCCTGTCGACGAGGCCGTAGGAAACCTCGCACCTGGATGGCGCCGTTGCTCACATCGTACGTGGAGACGGACGAGGGCTGGAAGTAACCGCTGGGAGTGGGGTCCGGAGTCGGGGTGGAGTGGCCGGGGCTGGTGGAGTTGGAGTACCGGGCCTGGAGGGGAGCGCCCAGGACGGAGCTGGCGGCGAGAGTGAGAGCGACAATGGCGTAGGAGAGCATTTTCATTTACTGTTTTCGGGCTTGATTAAGAAGAGCGCTTTGTGAGAAGAATATGATATATCTTTTTGAAAGATTGTGTTAAGGAAATTGTATGACGGATATAGGAAATAAGGAAAATAGGAAAGGAAATATGATGCTGTGGTTATATGAGATGGTATGGTCGGAGCAGGAAATGTTTTCATGAATGTGACGAACTGGTGCGGTCTTTATAGAGCCAGCCAGAGAGCTGAACAACACCAGATGGGGGACTCGTACAGCCTAGGTAGGCTACAGACATCGACAGAGTTTACATGGTCTACAAACTGCTACGAGCGCATACCCAGTACTCCCAAAGCTGTCGTGCTGCAAATAGCATGCGGCCGACGAGATGTCTGTTGAAGCGGTCGGTGCACTGCCAGCCAGGCTTCATGATGACTGCGCCCAGCCGACGAGGCTTATCGATTTCCTCTCAACCCCATAGGACGCCACGGTTCCTCTGGTTCGACTCGATGTACTTGATAGAGGGGAACCAACCTGTCGTACCGTCCAGTGCTTTCTGCTAGTGCCTCGTAGTGATGCGTTGCATTGGCGAGGCGGTGCGGTATCCCTTGTTCAGCAAGCCACATGACGGCCGCCTGTTCAGCTGTGCAGGAAGCAGTCAGCGTTGTGCAACATTTAAAGAGCTCGCTAGCAGTCGCACTGATGTCCAAGAAGGTTCAGGCCGAGCGAATAGAACCGGCTCGTCAGGTCTATGGAGTCGGTTCCATCTCCTCGGGCTGTGGCGGGGTGAATAAAACCGGCAGTCAGATTGTGAGCTGGTAGGGCTGAGCTTTCGGAGACGTGTGCGGCTGAAGAACAAAAGCTCGTCATTTGTCGGCTAGTGTTGTAGTGAGATATTCAGTTTGATACTAACGGCCGGCCCAAAGACTCCAGCTAGGTGAACCCACGAAGACATCGGCCGTCGCAGGCGTTGGTCGGTGCTGCGAAATACTTCCGATGGTGGCTTCGCTGGTTGCGGCATTGTCGGTCAGAGGTACTTGAAGACGTCTGTATGACGGCCGAGACATATTGGAAATCAACGGAGGAAAGTCAAAGCTCGTTCGAGCCAGAGGGTGTGCCGGTATTTGTTAGCAACAAAACCTGCTAACGCAGGTAAATCACCGAAGCAGTTGCTACATGTTCAGAAGCCCAGTTGTCAGCAATGTTGCTAGCAACGCTACTTGCTCAACATGGCCCTGGCGACTGGCGACCCAAACGGGATGACCATACGCTTACGGAAAGCAAGCCAACCCTCGGAGAACTTGGGTATCGGGCGGCTTGGGAGGCTCGTGATGTCAAATTCTGAGGGACGTAGGTAATTATGCCAGTGGTGGTCATTGGCCCCACCACTATTCTTCCAATCTGACCCTCTCCTTCGCGTCCGTTGTGTGTGCTGCGAAATGAATGACCCGTATTGGACAGAGCTCACTTCTCTCAGAGGTATGACACAGCTGTCCTGGTCGTGGACGGCATAAAAAGAAATTCTACCGAATGAAGAGGCAGAACAGCCATGCCGCTGCGGTGTGACCAAGCACCAGTGTTGGCACTGCGATGGTGAGGAGGGTCCATCACGCAATTCAACCACCAACGGCTCACAATCAACAATTCATTCACTTTGTCTGCTGGCTACACACATGCCAACCGACCCTATCGGCGCTTCAAACCCATCATTGATTCCCGGAATTCTGTGCCTCGGGGAGCATTTGACATGGCTCCAGCCCAGCTCACAGGCCAAGCGCTCCTGGCTCGTGCGATCCAGAACACGCCCATTATCGACAACCACGCGCATCCTCTCCTCAATCTTGATGCAATTGACCGCTACCCGCTCCTTTCCATCGTCACCGAGGCCCACGGCGATGCCATTCACGCCTCACTGACCAGCCTTGCCCATCTGCGAGCTGTCAAGCAACTGTCGGGTATTCTCAAGTGCGAGCCCACATGGGAGGCCGTTGTCAACGCAGTCGAGCAGAAACGCGTCGGAGATTATGACGCTTGGGTGGCGGAATGTCTCACTGGCATCGAGTCCGTCCTGGTCGATGATGGGCTTGATGGAGAAGACAACGTCTACCCCTACACCTACTTTGACGAACACACGCCGAGCTCGGCCAAGCGTATCGTGCGCATAGAGCAAATCGCAGCCTCCATCATCAACGCCCACTGTCCTGAGCAGGTCTCTGGGCGCAAGACCTCGGAGGACATCGCTTTCGCTTTTGACCAGGTCGTAGAGGATTTTGACCTCGCCATTCTGAGGGCCACGTTCGACACTGAGGTCGTCGGCTTCAAGTCTGTCATTTGCTATCGAACCGGTCTCGCCATCCCCCGCAAGCCTGACATCGCCGCCGCGAGGCAAGCCTTCGAAGGGATTTTCAAGACGCATACCCAAGGAACTGGCAAGGCTTTCACAAGAGTTGACCACCCAGGTCTCAATGAGTTCTTCGTCCACAGATTGGCCTCCGTTATCCGGGATGGCGAAGCCCCCGTGAAGAAGCCAATTCAATTCCACACAGGTCTGGGTGACAACGACATCACCCTCACCAGCGCATCGCCGTCTCACCTTCAAGAGTTCATACGAGAATACCCCACCGTGCCCATAGTCCTCCTCCATGCCAGTTACCCGTACACCCGAGAGGCCGGGTACCTCGCCACTGTCTACGCAAACGTGTATGCCGATATTGGGGAAATATTTCCCTTCCTCAGCCAAGATGGCCAGGAGACGGCTGTTCATCAGATTCTCGAGCTTTGCCCGTGGTCCAAGATCTTGTGGAGCACCGACGGACACTGGTTTCCCGAGACATACTTGCTAGCCGTGTTGCAGGTGCGAGAGGTCTTTGAGAAGGTGAGTATCCGTTTGTCTCCACACCACTGGTGAAGAGACTAAGAGGTTCAGGTACTCGGAGACTTCGTCCGCAAAAAACATATCACCTGGCAGGAAGGCTGCCAGCTCGTTCGCGATGTCTTCTTCAATAACTCGAATAAGCTGTACCGCCTTGGGCTGACATTACGAGACGAGGATGAGGCCCCCGGACAGTCCCAACAGACCGTGTCTAGTGACCTAGACCTGCTCGAGGAGTACCTTGCTGCCAACCCGACACCTACGTTTATCCGGGTGTATTGGAACGACTTCACAGCCACACCCAGAATGCGTGCCATTCCTCTACCCAACGTCTTGCGACAACTTCGTGAAGAGGGTGTTTTCAGTGTCGGGGTAACCAAGGCGTCGTTGGGGTTGCTCCAGAATGACATGAGCGCCCCAGGTATTTCGCCAGTCGGAGAATACAGACTTTACCCAGACTTCAGCTCACTCGTGGGCGGTCCCGGTACAGGTCACGCCAGCACTTTCGGTGACTTTCGGGAATCGGACAGTTCAGCAGTCACTCTCTGTCCGCGGACGCTGTTGCAGCGGCTTACTGACCTGGCGTCGAGACGTGGCTTATCTTTTCAGCTCGGCTTCGAGGTAGAACTTGTGTTGCTTCAGCGTGGCTCATTCGACGGCCAGCCCTACTACTCCACGCTGGAGACGGACGGCCACGCCTGGAGCGTTGGCCGCGCCATGGACAGCCCTGTTGTCGCCGAGGTCATCGAGCCGGCTATAGCCACTCTTGCAGAGCAAGGCATCTTCATCGAGCAAGTACACCCTGAGAGTGCACCGGGGCAGTTCGAGGTTGTGCTACCAAGGGCGGCACCACTTGCAGCCGTCGATACTCTGATTCACGTGCGCAACGTCATCTCGAATGCAGCCACGAAGGCAGGCTACAGAATGACGTTGCATCCCAAACCCTTCGCCATGGCCTGTGGCAACGCTGCCCACACACACTTGTCCATATCATCGGCTAATGGCGACAAGCCAGAGGTTTACCAGCCCTTTTACGCCGGAATATTGAGACACCTTAGAGCCATTTGTGCGTTTACTTACAGTAATCCTGCCAGTTACAACCGTCTAGTTGATGGCGCATGGGCTGGCGGCAGATGGGTGGCCTGGGGCACGCAGAACCGCGAGGTTCCGCTTCGCAAGATCAGCGAGAGCCACTGGGAGATCAAATGCATCGACGGCCTTGCGAACCCTTACCTCGCCACTTCAGCCATTCTAGCTGGTGGGCTCCTGGGTGTCAAGAATAATGAAGCACTGATCTGGGGTGACTGTGGGGTTGATCCTGCCACACTTACGGACAATGACAAACGGGAGCTTCATATGGAGGAGATGCTGCCGCTGTCCATCAATGAAGCTCTGGAAGCGCTGCAGAAAGATGATGACATGGTCTTGCTTATTGGAGAGGAGCTCGTGGAGCGATATGCCACGTGAAAGAAGCCGAGGCGAAATTCCTGAAGAGATGAATGTGGAAACTCGCCCGGCAGTGGATTATGGCCCCGCCATTAAACCCTATTCGCAAGGAGTTGCAGTCACCATTAGTGTTGGGGAACCAAGCGACGACATGGATTGTCATTGTTGAACAAGAATCAAAACGCTTCATCATGGATCTAATCGAACGTAATCTTGGTACCCGTGTGCTTCGCCGCCGTGCCCGTCAACCTCGCAACCATGAGATCGTCCTGCGCCTTGAGTTCCCTTGGCGGCACCGGCTTCTTCTCCCTCTTAGGAACCTCTCCGCCCTCCGCCGTGGTACCATCGGCTTGTACCTGCCGTCTTGGTGCGTCCTTGCCGAATCGCTTCTTGTACCGGACCTGGTCGTCCTCGGCAAGTTCAATCTTGAGGTTTCGGCCAGCAATCCTGTTGACCCACCATTTCCTCATCTTGAATTTCTTCTCTGACTGCGCATCCGTGTCTTCTTCCTCGTCTGAGTTGTCCTCCGCATCAGCGTCCTTATCCTTCTTGCCCTTGACGAAGTCATCTTCCGTCTCCAGCTCCTCTTTGATCCTGCAAAAGCCCTTGACCGCCCAGCCCGCAGACTCAGCCTCGCGGAACTTGACCCAGCCGTAGCCCTTGCACTTGCCCGAGTCCTCGAAAGTAGCGACCTTGACCCAGTCAATTTCGCCGCACTTCTCAAAGTTGGCGCGTACGTCCTCCTCGGTCGTCTGGAAGCTCAGGTTGCCGACGAAGATTTTGCGACTGGTGGGAATCTCATCCTCAGCCTTCTTCTTGGCGGCGGCAGCGATTTCAGCCTCGTCCTTCTTCGGTCTGCCGTCGTATGATGTCGAGTCCTTGATGAGGAGCTTGCGGTAGAGCAACTCGTTTTCGGTCAGGGCGATGGCGGCCACCTTGGCGCCAATATCGGCAAAGTCGACGTAGGCAAAACCTTTGTTCTTCTTGACCTTGTTGCCGCCGTCCTTAGTCATGGGCATATTTATCCTGGTGATGGACTCGTTGGTGATGACCTCGCCCGAGTTCTCGATGAGCCACTTGCGCAGCATATCCGGAGTGACGGCGAAGGGCATATTGCCAACCCAGACGCCATGTTCAGAGCGGTTGGACTTGAGCTTCTCCTTCTCCTCTTTCTTGGCCTCCTTTTCATCGTCGCTATCTTGCTTGGGTGGCAGCGTCTTGCCCTTCTTCTGAGCACGTTTCGCACGCTTGGAGGGGGGCTCGGGAGCTTCAAGGTCGACCTCGAGCTCTTCGAGTTCGGCCTTGCGCTTCTTAGGGGAGGAAGCGTCCTCCGACATTGGCGTCTTGTTCGTCTTTTCGGTAGTCATCGTTGCAGTCGCAGTTGGGGGCTTGGTTGATCAAGGCGGCTCGGCTGGCAATCGAGTTATTGCAAAGTCGAGGGGATCTTCTTTTGCGGTCTGGTTTTTTTTGTGGAGCCAAGGGACCGATAGTGATAAGCGGCTGACCGGGGTAAGCACACAGGCACATCCTGGGGTCATGGAGGCGTCACTAGCTTCACACGTCGACTCAGAATCTATCTGATACTTCTTCTGCCGTTCGTCCTTGCATGGGTCATTTACACTAAAGACAAGAGTCGGGAATAGACGAGAGTCAGGGAAAGGGGCATATTGACAGATCAAGCGTGCCTGAATTGGCCGGAGAGGTTGTGTAAAGGAAGGCGCCGCCTTTCGTGCATGGCACTTTAGCTCACTGGTAGACCTGGTGACCAAAATCCCTGGCGAACAACTTGGTTGGCAACTCATTTATTGGTTGCTCAGCTCACCTCACGTGGTGGCTTTTAAGCCTGGAGCTAGGCTTGGGTTGGGCGCCTGAGTTTTTGGGTACAAGCGCAAGAGCCAGCAACTACCACCTGGTGTCCTCACATAAGGATAGATACATGCCTCCGCGAACGGTCTCACAACAAGTCGTCGGCAATCGAAAAGAAAGCAAGAAACGAGAGAAACACACAGAAAGAAAAACAAAAAGATGCATGTTGTGAAATGCAGGGATGCCGACAGGTTCTCGTGAAGGCTCGATCTCCGTCCGAACCCACAAACCATGCTGTGGCAACAGCGGACCCCAAGGGCAATCCAGCAAAATTACAGGTGGTTTGCATGCAGGCCTCCACCCCGACTCAGGCGCTGGCCCCGCCAACACACCGGCGCTAACTCCTCACGGGCCCGGGCGGCTTAAGTGGGCGGGCAACTGAAGGCCTTGTACTGCACTTCCAGGCCTGTACCGTCCAACCATCCGACTTTCAAAACACCCGACCCATCCATCCATTCCCCTCACCGACTCTTCCCTCTGACCTACACCCGTCTTTCTCTCGATTCTCCTCCCGAACGCCAGTCACCGACCGAACGACCGAGCGATTAATCGCCTATCCGGCACAAAGCACCTACGCCGACCGATCGACTTCAATCGCTGCTTCTGGCACCACAACTCGATTTGGACGCTTTCACTGGTGTGCATCGAGTGGTGACAAAAGGGATTTCGCATCAGGCTTTTGCATGATGAATGTCTTGCTGTCGCCACAACCTCACCTCCTCCCTCATCAGCACGACTCTGCCCGCCGCTCCCCTTCTCGCTCCGGTAAGCTGTCAAAACATCTACAGACGCTTCTCATTTGCGAATGACAAATAAAAAAAACACCAAATAGCGTCGTCCTGTGGTTATTTCGACTAACTCGTTGACAGGCAGCCCCTTTCACAACATGACCAGCACCCGCAAGAGGAAGGCTGACGAGGATGGCGATGAGATGTCCATGTCCCCTCGCAGCTCACCTGCATTCTCCGCCCGACAACTCTCTCGCCCTTCGAAGAAGGTCCGCTCGAACGAACTTGTTGGTCGCCAGCTCAGCCTACCCAGACTGCTTGAGACTCTGGATCCCACTCAACTACGAACCGTCCTTGAGCGCATCTGCGAGCGACACCCGGATATCGGCCAGGAGGTTGTTGCCGGCGCCCCTCGACCTACGGTTGCTGCCGCGCGGGCGTGCTGCAAGAGTATGTGGCCAAGATGAAGGAAGCCATGCCCTACGGAGAGTCCAGTGCCGAATACACATACTATCGAGTCAAGGCTCCCTTGACGGCCCTCATCGAGGCTCTTCTCGACTTCACGCCCCAATACCTCCCCCCCATCGAGACGCAAACCACCGTGTCTCTGGAATACCTCGACCTCGCCACCGACATCATCCACGGCCTGCCCGACTGGGAACTTCAGCAATACCGACACCACAAGGACGCTGCCTACGATGAGATCTCCAAGGCCTGGGCGTTGGTAATCAACGAGGCCGCCAAGCGCGGAGGAGGCCTCAACCTGCACTCTGGCGGTTGGGACCAGAAGTTGTCTAAGCACAATGAGATCTCTCAAGGCGGATGGGCACTGCCATGAATGCTATGGCTACTGCGTAGGGTGGATGGGCAACGGCAACTCCAGCGCGCTCCTTCGAACACGCCTCGGATCCAAACTCGATCTGACACTGATGTCTGGCACGTACGGGCGCCCGTCGTGTAGACATGTAAGGCGCGACATGCGGCATGACCAACTACAGCACATTCTGACAGCTCACGACTATTGATGAATAGGTTTTTTTATGTTTCGCCTTGGCTTTCTTAGTTTTTCCTTCTTCGCACAAGGCATCGGCAAGGGCATAGACACTCTGTTTTCAGGGGCATTCACAGTCGGTTAACGGGACGGCGTTCAACTGTTTTCGCACGGATGATATCCATCTCAATTACTCACGAGTTGGCAAGCACGGGGCCTGAGCCCCAGTCGCAGCTAGGATCAGGCATATCAACATTCCTTTTTCTATGTATGTAATAACAAGACGGTCGCCATATGCCTCCGCCTTGAGAAGATCTCAAATTGTAGAGATTTTCTATGCGACCATGCAGATCCGCAAGTGAAACTGGGGAATGATTTTACATTGCCAGACGAAAGTGTGAGGCCTTGTCTTCGGAAATGAAATCCTCATACAACAGCACACATGTGCTTGAATCCACAAAGCAACTCTACATGAAATGCCGTGTGAGACGATAAGGCTCATAAGCTGGACCTATTCGAAAATTAGGAAGTCGCTCCGAGGTCGAGGTATGAAGCCAGTTTTGAACGAGACTGCGGTATAAGTTCCTCGGATTGCCTGCGCCTGAAGAGCAGACATCTGGCAAACTGACTCTGAACATTAAGTTCGGCTCAGCGGATGCTACCTAAAATAAAGGATGGCGGCTACATGTACAGCACTCACGCACTGTCATGACTCGTAAGCCAGCGTTGAGTATGAGGTGGGGTTCCGATCTGTCGGTGGAGAACCATCATCATATCACGTGATCACCCGTTCGGCACTGGGGACTCGACGCGTGTGATGACTCGCCTCGGGAACCAGACGCGTGCCACAACACCCAGAAGCCCACACTCCACAAAGGCAAAGCACGGCTAGGTAGCGACCTGACCTCGAGCTCCTTCATCTCCTTCATCGATACTCACACTTTGTCTGCCAGTCTAATTATTATTATTTTGTTTATGAGAGACTTCATATCGGCGTCAAAGTGAAGATGCCTGCGTGCGTATTTCCACCCAAACGCGTTTATAATGCACCACTGACCTCTTCACAGTCCAGGCGATCAACACAGCGGCAACCTCGCCAACCCGTTCGAGGAGCCGCAGAAACGAATGACCGAATATACTGCTCAACAAATTGCCACATTGCAGAGTCGACTGGAGAAGCAGCTGGGGCCTGAGTACATATCCGCGCGAGCTGGTCCATCCGGTCAAAAGGTCCACTACATTGCCGCCGAAAAGTGCATCGCCCTTGCAAATGAGGTTTTCGGCTTCAATGGCTGGTCCTCGGGGATTCAGAACATACAGGTTGATTTCGTCGACGAGCATCCACAGACTTTGAAGATCAGCCTGGGTCTATCGGTCATTGTACGTGTGACGCTCAGGGATGGTACTTTCCATGAGGATATAGGGTATGGGCATATTGAGAACTGCAAAGGAAAGGCAGCCGCTTTCGAAAAAGCAAAGAAGGAGGGAACTACAGATGCGTTGAAGAGGGCGTTGAGAAACTTTGGCAACGTCCTCGGCAATTGCATCTACGACAAGGACTATCTGGCCAAGGTCACCAAGCTGAAGCCTGGTCCCACCAAGTTCGATGAAAACAAATTGCATCGGCATTCAGATTTTGCAAAGAAGGAGGAGAAGGAGAAGGAGAAGGAAGAGTCCCTGATCAAGAAGGAGATGGCTGACTCGCTCGACGACCTTTTGGATGCCGACTTTGACGAAATGGACTTCGCTATTAATGAGGAGGGTCACCCTGACGAAATTGTGCTGCCACCTGCAAACAATCCATCGACAACCGTGCCGAACCAGGCCATCAAGTCAGCCCAGAATATGCAACCCCCTTCCAGGCCCATGGGCAGGAGTGTCTCAGCTGGCAATGTGGGCAACATGCGAGGTCCGCAAACCCCTACTCAGGGGTCAAATATGAGGCAGGCTCCGCAAGGAGCATACCAAAACAGACCAGTACCACCTAATCAACCACGAGCGCCTGCGAACATAGTAGCACCTGCGGCTCGCCAGAACATTCAACGGCTAACAACGGTACGCCCCCACCGAACGCTGTAGTGCCGCTGCGGCTGGGACGCCCGAGTCTGTAGGCTTCTTCTCCGCTCGCGCCGTCAAAGATATCCCTGAGAGCAAGTTGAGCAGCAACAACCCAAACGCCGCTCTTTCCCTTGCACCAGGACAACACGCATTCAACCCAAAGGCCGAAAGCCCTTCGATCCGAAAGACCCCTGGGATTGACCACAGCTCTTCCAAACCTGTTTCTCGGAACGGGCAGCATGTTTCTCCGGTAGCCAGTCAGTCGGGAGCTGCAGGGGGTGGTGGGATCTCGAGCGCTTCGGGTTTCACCCCACAAAGACCGACCTCGGGACCTCAAGGTGGCATGGGAAACCCGCAACTCAGCCAAACAAGACGCATCGGGGCACCGCTGGCCCGGCTAGCCCCCTCGCCAATCGCAACTCGTATCGCGCCCCTACTATGATCAAGAGACCAGTACCCCAGGAAGGGGCGACAGGTAGGCCACCGCTAGCTGAGGTAGTGAACAAGACCGGGCCTACAGTGAACAGTGGTAGTGAAATGGCTGCAGTCGATGCTGCTAAGCGGCAGAGAACATCTTAGCCCAAAGTCGAGCTTATTTTGAGTCTGTAACTTGCGGGAGAAATCATGAGGGCATGGCTTATATTGGTGCTTGGTCGTATGGAGTTATGGCGGTCACCCGACTGCTCGGATGGGCTTATGAGGTCATGCCATACAAGGGGCATTTGATGATGAATACATTTCTAGTTTGGTCCTGTTCGATTCGTATATCCCATGGACTGATCGTAATTGTTTTTCTACTCTTTACTTTCCTGCTCCACCTCATTACACATGAGTATGGCGTCTTCTAAAAAACAAAAAGTCATGTAGTATCTGTAATTACAATGTGTTCTAGCTTCTATGTGGGAATGTATATGTCTAAAGACTGCACCATGCTACAACACGGGTCAAAGACCAGGGCCGGCAAATTCAGCATTCTTCCACCCCAGGGCCCTCTTGACACTCAGCCAGAGCTCAAACGCTTCCAACTTGATCTCGACGCGCAAAAAGCCGACCCAGGCGGCAGCAAGTCGAATGGTGTTTGGCGGCCAAAATAAAGAGCCCTGCTTCTTCAGCTCCTCGACCTGCTCCTCGAAGACGGTGCGCGTACAGTAGCGTGCTAGGATCATGAATGTGCGGATCGGACCCTGGCGGGTGTGAAGGTTCTCATCAAGGGCACGTGTGAGATCGTTTGTCTTGAGGATGAGGAGGATGATGCGCGGAACCTGACCCAGGAGCTGGACAAGGTCGGCCAGCAGACCCTCGGAAAGAGCATCCCCCATCTCCTTCTTCTCATCGGCGGTGCGCGTCTGCAAGATGGAGGCGCCCGCATCCTTGCCGTCCTGGTCGCTGGCGTTCTTTCCGGAGAGAATGCCGAAGTCGCGGCCCGTGATTGCGGACGCGAAGATCGGGAACTGCTCGTCAGTGATGTGGGCTACCTCTTTCGCGTAACGGCGCATGCGGTCCATGTCGCCATCGATGACGGCCAGCCACATCTTAGCATAGGAGCGCTGCAGGTCACGAGGGATCTCGCGATACAGCCCGTGGTCGTAGAGAATGATGTCAAAATTATGACCGCCAACGCGGCGACCGCGCGCGTCGTTTTTGCGAATGGCGAGGTTGCCGCCATGAGGATCGCAGTGAAGAGGAGCGCCAGAGCCAAAAATCATCTCGTTGAAGACGCGTGCCAGGCACGCCGAGACTTCATCACGGTCAATACCATTGGCGTCGAGGTATTCGAGGTCATCTAGGCGGTGGCCGGATTCGCGAGCCATGACAAGGATGCGCTGCTTGGCCCAGAGGACATCAGGGACCACAAGAGGGTGCTCTGGGAGACGGGCAAAGTGCTGCTGAGTGCGTCTAGCGTTCTCCGCCTCTTCTGTGAAGTCTAGTTCCTTCGGTAAGGATACGTCCATTTCGGAGGAGAGCCACTCTAGATCGTATTCGGGAAAGAAGCGCTTCAGCATCGAGAAAGTAAACCTGGTCAAAGCCAGGTCAAGAAGCGCCCACTGGGCAAGCTCCGGGTGCTGAACCTTGACAGCTACGTGCTGCCCAGTCTCCTTGATTGTTGCGGTGTGTACTTGAGCCAGTGACGCAGCGCCGATTGCTCAAGAGAAAACTCGCTGAAGAAGTCGAGAATCCCTTGGCCAGTATCCTTGCGGAACATATGTTCATTGATCGTACGACGAGACGGGGCATTTGTCTTGAGCGGCGATAAAGGTAGTCGTCCACTCTGTCGGGAGAAGATAGTTCATTGCGCTCTACAATCCATAATCAGCATGTCGAACGAGGGTATGCTACGTGCTGATTTGACAACGTACCAAATGTTGGCCTAATTTGATGAAGATGCCTCCATTCTTCTCCAGGACCTTGAGAGTCCTTCTGGCACATCTTGTATGACAGTCGCTCAAAAGTTTCGAACGGATGTCTTCATCATATTCGGAGTCTCGTTGGTTCAAGGTTGTGCGGTAACTATGACACTGTCAGCGCAACAGATTCCGTCTCATCCCTGCGATAGGCATCGTACTCGTTGATGCAGACAGCAAGCGCTGCCGCGACTCGCCCAGCTCGCTCTGCAGCATCGTATCCGTACTTGATATCGTCGGTAAAGGCTAGCACGCCGGCTGTTGCAGCGCCACCTGTCGAGGCGAGAAGGAGAACACCCTTTCGGCCATTGCGAGTATTTGGTCTCCCCTTTGTCCAAGCCCTCGAGGAATACTTTGCTCGGAAGGTGATGGTCTGAGGCGACTTAGGCCGGCTCAATTGGGTGCGGCAGGTGGCGCAAGTCCACCCTGGCGTCCATGGTCGCGTGTTGAGCCGGCGCAGTGGGAGTGAAAAGGCGGAGAATGAGGCTTTCATTGGGAGGTCGTCCTGTTGCCACCAATGCTCTGACTGAGAAGAGTGGAAGCGGCTGGGAGCATTATCATCTGTAGGGTGTTGTGTCCCAAAGATGCACGGAGCACGAGCGTGTGGTGGAGGCTAGAGCTGGTGATGTCGACACATGTGACGAGCTGTTATTAGTGGCGATCATCAGCAGTTTTTTCTCTACCTTCATCATCAGATTGTCCTAACGCCTTCGCTACAGCGCTGATCGAACCGTCCCGAGGCCCCACTCCGGTTGGCTATCCGTTTTCTACCTGTTCAGGGGCTTCCGTTTTGACCCGCATCCATCCTTGGCAGCTTGGCCTCCACCATGAACCAGCCATGCTCACACGCGGATTTCGATGGGCGCTGTTCCACCATATATCTTAACTATACAATCCCAAACATCTCCAATCGCCACTTCTTACACATATTACCAACGTGATCAAGCCAGCACGTCTATTCCATATAGTTTTTCTCATTTGGTGGAGTTATGTCCAGTTGTCAACATGGAATATGCACTCGCCTACCACGAACCATACATCACGACCATCGTGACCCTTTGCAGTTTCTTGCTTCTCCTTAACATAATCAATTATGCGCTGGACCGTATCGTTTACTGCGGCCTCATTGGCCAGGTTCTTCTCGGTATCGCCTGGGGCACGCCTGGATTCCAATGGCTAGAGAGAGACCTCGAGAATGCTGCTATGCAGCTTGGCTACATTGGGCTCTTGTTGATTGTCTACGAAGGTGGGGAGTTTGTCAGCAGGGTTCGCGGATGTCGCTGACTCGATTCAGGAGGGCTTGCAACCTCATTCAAACCTTTGAAAGCCAATTTATTCTTATCAGTGGGAGTAGCAGCCACTGGCATTGCCGTTCCCATGGGGCTGTCATTCTTCCTTTTGCCCATGATGGGCACATCATCATTGCAGGCATTCGCAGCTGGTGCCGCATTGTGTTCGACAAGTCTAGGGACCACATTCACCATCTTGGGAACAAGTGGACTTTCTTCCACGCGTCTTGGGGTCGTATTAACATCCGCAGCCATGATGGACGATGTTGTCGGTTTAATCATGGTTCAAGTCATCTCAAATCTTGGGAGCCCATCTTTCGACATAGTCAATGTCATACGGCCCGTCTGTGTGTCACTCGCATTTGCTATCGCAAGCCCTTTAATCTGTAGATATGTCGTTCTGCCGCTTACCTTGCAGGTCAATCTGGCAAGAGAAAGATACCGAGGTGGTCGCTTGGACCGCCTCTCTATTTCCCTAAAGACAGCATTTGTTCTCCACACGACGATCCTTCTTGCATTAGTCGTCGGAGGAACTTATGCTGGTACGTCCGGGCTCTTTGCTGCCTACATCGCCGGAGCATCAATCAGCTGGTGGGATTCTGAAGTTCCCCACCCGGCTGCTCGTCAAACATCTCGTCCGTCTATTGTCAGCCAAGGTAGGGTTACTGCGAATGAGAACCAACCACGAAGTGATGCCGAAGGTGCTTCTGCCGATCGAGCTCAAAGTTCGTCCTCGCCTTCAGGAATGATTGTCTATCAAAGGTTCTTCGAGAAGACTGTCAATCAGATCCTGAAACCGTTATTCTTCGTAAGTTCTCAAACTCTTCCCAAGGGTGCTATCCTCAACGCTCACCTACCAGGCTTCCATTGGCTTTTCGATTCCTGTCAGTAAAATGTTCTCTCGACCTATCGTCTGGCGCGGAGTAGTCTACTCATTACTCATGGTTGTGGGCAAATTAGCCTGCGGACTTTGGCTCATCTCATACATGAGTCCGCTTCAGGGTTTGCTGCAGTTTTTCAGAAGGCTTTCAATTGTTGGTCAACAGAGGAACACAAAGCTCAGCCCTGTAGCTCTCTGTGAGGGAACACCTCTGGCTCGGAAGGCAGAGGCGGCATCCTGTCCCCCGCAGGATCGTACTGAGGATGTGCCCTTGGAGTCAATGAATCCAGCATCGCAGCCTGTTCCCTCGCTTCCGCATAACGCCAGCCCGGATCCGAAGATGCCTGTGTCATTGTATCCTGCTTGCATCATGGCTTTCGCTATGGTGGCGAGGGGTGAGATTGGCTTCTTGATCTCGGCACTAGCAGAGAGCAACGGTGTGCTTGGGCGACAGCCTCATGAAGGGCAACCGTCAGAACTGTTCTTGGTCATCACATGGGCTATCGTACTCTGCACAATCGGTGGCCCTGTCTGCGTGGGGCTTCTGGTGAAGAGGGTGAACAAGCTGGAAGGTCAAAAGGTCTCTACAGAAGGGGCAAGCGTCCTGGGAGCCTGGGGTGTCGATAAGATCTAATAATGCGTGACCTAGCCGCTCGGAGCTCAACAAATAGCTGGCGCAAGGACAGCTCAGTTTGCATGAAAATGACAGAGGTTGCGTTCACGTCGCTGTTGGAATGGCGATATGCATATATCCATATTATGGAAGTACTTCATTATGTGCATCTCGGCGTGTCTTGGATGCCCCACGTCTTGACGCGCCGCGTCGGACCGCGACTCAGGGTGGCGTTTCTAAAGTGGGTATCTACCTGCCTGGGAACGGGGCCACTTTGCCCCTCCGAAACAACGACATCTACACTTTATTCTCGGCTTTCTGTTTTTCTCCCTGGCCTCTCCGGAGTTCCCAAAAAGACACTCCTGCTCGTTTATTTATGTTTCCTCTCGCCCAGACCCAGTTCTTCCCACAGCATTTGACGCTACCAACAACATGCCGTGGACCCATAGCCATCGACCTTCCATCTCCTCGCCTCTCTCCTCTTCTCCCATTCGTGCGGCCTCCCCCGCTTCACCGACAAGACGTACTACTCTGGACTTTTCGAACCGTCAAACACAATCGTCGCCAATTCAAGCATCATCCTCCAAGTTCAAATACGCGTCGCGACAGACCAAGCCGAATCCAGCAGTCCGTCGTCGTGAAGAAGCTCAAGAGAGCAGGCGAAAGCTGTTCTTACAGAACGTCCGCCAGCGTGCTGATGAGCGTAATTACGAGCGAAGGGACATGGAAGGAATTGTAAGTTCACCCCTATTCGCCTATTGCGGCCAACCTGCGACCTCGGCCTTGCCTTGGATGCCTTGGATGAATAGAGGCTAATTGATGGCGCGCAGCTTCTCAAATCAAGCTGGGATAAGCAGATGCGGGAGCTTGTTCTCGCAAAGCGACTCGAGAGCGATGCCGTGTTCTCTAAAGCGGACATCGAGCACGCGGCTGAGCTGCTGTTGCAAGAGGAAGCAGCGTCAGAAATCCAGCAGCCACCCGAAAACATCGATGATATGATGGTCGACGAAATGGCTATGCAAGAACAGAGCGAATTGGATGCGCTTGTCATGGCGTACCACGAACCCACCATCGATCAGCAGGCTGCCTCGACCTCCAGCGCAGACGCTCACAGCATGTCCGATGATGAAGACTACGATGCAATCTTCATGGACCTGGTATCACAGCAGGACTTCTCAGAGCAGATGGATATGTCGTGATACACGCGAAGTTCTCGTTGATTTGGGTCATGCTCTTTGGGTTGGGCGTAACGGGATACCATTTATTCGGCGTTTGGGGGAGGAAACCGGAGATGTCTGGCATGGAGTTCAGGAAATGATGCGAAAACGTACTTTGAGGCACTCTGGTCGTGCATCCTCATTTTCGTCATCGGGTACATATGTCAATGTTGAAGTGTAATTACCCTTTTATTGAGGGTTGCAGCTCTCGTCCGGTGCTCCGAAAGCCTCCTGGGCTGATGCCATATCCCCTACCAGATCTGACGGCGGCGAACCTGCGTCTTGCATCTGTAGCTTTGTCAGTGACGAAGAATTGCGCTCATCAGAGGCACCACTGACCTTCTGCATTCTCTGAACAATGTACTCCCTATCCGCAGGAGTCGAGTCCGAATACGTGGGCTGCTCAAACTTGGCCACGATCTCCTTGACGATCACCTGTTGTTCCTGGTAGCGCTTGAGATCCTCCGCCGGTGTCTTGTCCTTGTTCTTCTCCATCCATCCCGGGAACTTGTCATGAAGTTCCTTCATCGGCTCGTACAGGATTTCTTTGTTCGTCAGCTGCTCCATCATGCCCATTAGCATTTTGGAGAAATCCTCTTCACCACCGGCACCATCGGGACCTCCGCCTTCGCCCATCTGCTTCATGAGCTCGGCGAGGAAGTCGTCTGAAGACGAGTCAGCTGCCGCCGCCGTCGCTGAATCACCCGAGGCCTGCATTCGCTCCATCGTTCGTCGAATGGTTTCCTGGAATGAGGCGTCCGCAGCTTGAGCATCCGCCGAAGCGCCTGGTTGCGCAGGTCCAGACGAAGCGCCAGGTCGCGCTTCTTCACTTGTGGCATCCTGGGCGGTCGCGGCGGCCATCGACTTGAACATATCATCAAACTGAGTTTGCATCTCCGGCTGTGAGCACTTTAGCAAGATTTTCAGGCCACACCGAGAATCGGGAGACTTGCGTTCTTCTCTAGCTCACCTAGGAGATCAGACATGCCGGCCTGTAGCTGTTTCGCAAATTCTTCATCTCCAAACATGTCTTCTAGGGACTTGTCCGATGTGTCAGGGCCGGAGTTGCCTCCAGCTTTCTCGGCCCCGGGCGCTGGCCCAGATGCCGGCCCAGAGGTGCTTTGTCCAGCAGGCTTTTTGGAGAATTCTTCGAGCATATCTGGAGTCCGTGAGTCTCTGATCTCACATTTAACAAACTCTTTGGTGTCATACCATCCAGATCATCGAGGTCATCCTCATCCGGATCAGGGACATCCTCCACAGGAAGCTCAGGCCTCTTGTCCTCAACTGTAGCAGCAGCAGACTTTGCTTCCACGTCAGGTGCCTTGGCAGCACCGGTATCGCTCATCTTGCCGTGACCGCTACTGTAAATATGATTTTTGGTGCCGGTTTTCACGACAAGCATGTGAGGGCAGAAAGGACGCCAGATGACAGTGTACGAAATGTGTGGAAGGCGCGCAAGTTCCGGTGACTGAAGAATTAAGCGGCCAGCAAAAACAAGCGATGGATGCGGAATAATGACGAGGCCCTGTCATAAACGCGAGTGAGGTTCGTTGAAGGTGAACTTGGCCTGTGGAATTCGTGTCTGGAACCGAAAGAAGCCGCAGCATATGAAAGCGCAAGCCGAGGTGAGAGAAAGTGGTCCATATTGGTGCAGTACCTAGTTCTCAGTGCACCTCATCCAGCTTGGTGGGGGCGGGGCAGTGACCCCGCTCTCCCAGCACCTGACGGCTGGAACAACTGGTAAAGTGTTGGCAGCGCTCTAGATGCTTCGCACCACAATGTACAAACACCTGGCGAAAACTGCTGGCTGCTCGTGCCGCCAAGATAACTTGTGCAGGCACGGTCTCTGTCATTATATATGAACCAATTGCTGCTGCCAGTGGGTACCAACGTATATTGTAGACTTCCTCTCGTACAGATCCAATCGTTGAGACTGTCATCAGTTGGGCACAGACTGCTGCTTATCAAACTAGAGGAGCAGCTCTCGGCGATAAGAGCATTTTCTGCCAGAATTTAGATACCTAAGTCAACACACCGCCTGCCGCTGCCCGCCATTTGCCGTTGACTCTCACAGTTGCCGCCTTGCGACTGGCAAAGCGCACCACCCGCCATCAAACCTCCAGGCTTTCAGATCTCTGATTGTTGAAGACTTGCTTTGTCTTCCTCTCTCTTGACGCAAAGCTTGAGCGCCATTTCTTCATAATCCGACGACCACGTACGCTTGCGCCAGACCAGGCTGTCAAGGGATCCTGATCGCGAACCGCGTCAGACTTTTGCCGAGAGAATCCCAGTAACTAGCACGAGATGGCGCTTTGCCAGAACAGGCTCCAGGAGGAGAGGTATGTTTCTACAGACCAGGTTTTCGACTTGACAGCCTGCTGACGCGTGTACAGAAAGGCGTGGCGAAAGGACCACCCCTTCGGCTTCTACGCAAGGCCAGCTCGCACACCAAATGGCACGCTTGATCTGAAGGTGTGGGACTGCGGTATCCCCGGAAAAGAGAAGACAATGTGGGAGAAGGGTCTATTCAAGCTGACCATCACGTTCCCTGATGGTGCGTTGCTTCCCGATGGGTGACTTGTTTGCCACGGATTATGCTGACCGTCATCTCTATAGAGTACCCTACGAAACCGCCGAAGTGTAGGTCCCCTCAAATACATAGCGGGTGCTTTCAGTGTTTTCGTGCTTTGACTGACATGATATCACAGGCAAGTTCGTTCCTCCGCTTTTCCATCCCAACGTCTACCCCTCCGGAACTGTTTGTTTATCGATCCTCAACGAGGAGGAGGCTTGGAAGCCCGCGATCACTGTTAAGCAGATCCTACTCGGCATCCAGGAGCTGCTGAATACTCCCAACCCGGAATCGCCAGCCCAGGCTGAAGCGTATAGTCTCTTCAAGAAGGACAAGAGTGAATACGAGAAGAGAATCCGGAGGGTTGTCAGGGAGAACCCAGCTCCCTGATCGGGATCGTCTCTGGAGGAAGTTGGAGTGACACTGGGGCGACGACTACGAACGTTGATACGATCATCATGCCATAGGGAACGGAGTTGGAGGGAATATCGGGTTGACTTTGCTTTACGTTGCTTGGGGCATCCAGAGATTGCTGCTACAGGGCGGAACGGCAGCCTGAGTCGGCCAATACAGACATTGCTGCCAGAGTGGCAAGACATTCTGATAACCTGCCTCGTGATGATGATAACGCAAAATTTGTTTAATTGTCGCCTTTCGGCGAGTAGAGACGTCGTTCAATACAGGCTGCAAGAGCCAAGCGGTTAAAGATGTTTGTACACGACTCCAACTCCACTGTGAACGAGCTTCATCTTCTCCGCCAGCTATGAGCGTGCTATTTCGTCGATGTCATCAGAAGGCGTTGAGTCATTCTCGCACCCTGCTCTTCAGATTGCCAAGCCGAAGTAACCAGGGGTTTCTGTCGTCTCGAGGCGCCAGTCTGAATCGACGCCATGTTCTGGGTCTTAGCTTGACGAGCATGACGCACTAACCGGGGTCAGCGTTCTTATTGCTCTTGCTCAGATCTTTCTTGAGTAGGATACTTACATTGGATCCTCTCAGTGCAGGCCGAGGTACGATACAGGTAGACTGCAAAGAAAAAAATACAAACCTCGTAGTGCCTGAAGACTGGTAGTCGATTTGTATCTTGGCGGACTGCTTCCGTGGACTGGTAATCTGACGAAAATCTCTTACGTACATCACACTGGCCCAGGGCTAGAGGGAAGCTTTCGCAAGACAAGGTCTTGGGATGTGAGTATCCAGGCGTAATTCTGCAGTGACGCATCAGACAACAAGGTTCAGTCGCTGTCGTCCTCTGAATCCTGGAAAGGTACCCCAAGAGCCGCCTTCAACTCCTTCATCCATTGACGAACCGGCTTCTTTCCCTCTCGTAATTCTCTGTAGAACTTCTGCAGTGGCTCTGGAAGCAGTCCTGCATCCAAGAATCCATCGTCATCAACGTACATTTCCATGTATCCAATCATGGGCAGGGCAAATCCACCGATGCGTTGCCCCGCGTCCCGGGCGTACAGACGTAGAAAGGCTTCAAGTAGAATATGAGACTTTGGTACGATAATTGGAACTTCACCCGACTTGAAGAACCCGAAACCCCGACCTGGTCGCCACGGCGGAAGGCTTTGCTGATCGGACGCAAGTATGTATGACGAGTGGGGCTCGAGTATCGACGGACATGGTAGAGACTCTCGAAGTGGTGGCATGAACCAAAGAGTGTCGGACTGTAGATAAATTCCTACCGTAATATCGGAAGTTCTGATATGGAAATGAATTACTGGGGGTGGTGTCCTCCTGTCTTTGGAGCTTGTGTGGCAGACCTCCGGGTTTGAACAATGCACCAGGTCGTCCGACCGAGCTAGAGCATGCTCTGCAGTCCCTGCACTGTCGTTTGGAACGACAAAGTCAATTGACTGGTGCGTTTCAGCCGATGATCTGGAAATCCCACGTACAATCAAGATCACTCACACTGACAATGGAGGGTACGCCGTGGACATTGAGAAGGCAGTGACCCCAGAGGACACAGGTAACCTGAGCTGAGAAGAGAGTTCGCGAAATGGAAGCTATGAAGGTTTCTGACACGTCTACCATTGTTGCCTTGATTGTGCGGACGTTCGTCAAGTGCTCGTTGGAATTGTTGCAGGTGACCTTGAATGCCCACGGATGAGGCCAAGGCAGCGTAGATGGCCCCCGCAGCCAGCTATTGGAATATGGACTGTGAAAGAATAGGCCATGCCGGAAACCCTGCACTGCTGTCCGGCGGCCAGGAGACGGGGCCCAGCAACGTCCATCAAATCATCACCGCCTGACAGAGGTTTCTCGTCCTGTACAGTGTACCAGAGGCAATGCTGCGAGAGTTATCAGTTGGAGTCATACAATTCACACCACAGCACTAGACTCAGGAATCCAGTCTACAAGCAGCGCTGCTCGGATGCATCTGGGCTCCTGGTAGCCAGACTCCAATCGAACTCAAGGGTGGCCTCGGCACAGGTGACACCGGCGGGCTGGTCCCTTATCGTAGGCCGTTTTAGGTAATACGGAGCAGGTAGCGAGGGAAATTCAACGACGTGCCAATGAATGCAACGGCCGAGATCGGGGAGCTTCACCAACTAAACTTGGTTGGGGTTGATCTTTGCGCCCCGTGGACAATCGCGGGCAGTTATCAGCAGGCAGAAGAAGAAAAGGTGCCTGTTTGAGAGCCTTCACCGACCAAGGAATGAGGTGAAGTGCGCAAGGCAAAACGAGGTCGAGCCTAGTGTGATTCTGGCATTAGCATTCACAATGGAGAACACGGTCGCAGAAAAACGGGCTGGCTCGGGGCGGCGTCCATTGGAACGAGGAGGAAGAGTCATAACCTCTCGCCCAAGCCCATCCCACCTTTTAGTCGCGCCTCGCCTCCTGGAAATAAAAAAGTTTGGGCCTACTGAGCCACCAGACACACACTTCTCCCCATCCCCAACTCCTGCTTGCTTCTTTACCAGAGATACCCTCGACCGTAGCTCTTTTTTTCCACACAGTCGCCATCATGTGCGGTATCTTTGCGTGCCACCGGTGAGTTTTTCCTGCGCTCCTGCGCTGCACCACGCGGCGGCGCATGTGCCGGCTGCGGAATCGAGGGGCAATCGAGGACCCCGCCATCCACAACCACCACAATCGAGCTGACTCTGACTCCCACCTCCAGTCACCCCGACGTTGAGAAATTCAAGCCCACAGCCTTGAAGCTTGCCAAGGCGTATGTGACCCTCCGTTATCCCCTTCTCTCGACGTTCAATTGACTGTTTTCCTCGCAGTGTCAGGCACCGTGGCCCCGATTGGAGTAAGATTTGGCTACTAAAGAGTGGAAATCCTCGAGCATCTTGACTGACCATGTGACAGGCGGAAGCATCATCGCCAACAACACGAGTAAGCTTGTTGCCGAGCCCCGGCTGGAAAAATTGCTGACAATCGTGACCAGTCCTGTGCCATGAGCGTCTCTGCATTGTCGGCGTCGGTGAGTCGACATGGGCGGCGTGCGCGTCGCAACTCTTCTCCATGAATCCTTCCAAGGGCTAAACGTGAACAACAGAGTCCGGCGCCCAGCCCCTGACGAGCACCGACGAGAACATTGTCCTTGCTGTCAACGGCGAGATCTACAACCACCGCCTCATCCGCAAGCACCTCAAGCACTCATACCACTTCAAGACCACCTCGGACTGCGAGGTTATTATCCCGCTGGTGAGTCATGCGCACGCATCCCTGCTTCCCAGGCGTCGGGACCAGACATGTCTAATCTGACTGGGAACAGTATATGGAGTATGGCCTCGACGCGCCGAAGCACCTCGACGGCATGTTCTCGTTTGTCCTCTACGACAAGGAGCAGGACCGGACAGTTGCCGCCCGTGACCCCATCGGCATCACCACCTTCTACCAGGGCTGGAACTCCAAGCAGCCCGAGACTGTGTACTTCGCCTCTGAGCTGAAGTCCCTGCACCCCGTCTGCGACAAGATCGAGGCCTTCCCTCCTGGACACATTTACGACTCCAAGACCGGCAAGACGACGAGATACTTTGAGCCTACCTGGTGGGATGGCGAGCGCGTTCCCGAGAAGCCTCTCGACCTCAAGCTCCTGCGCGAGACCCTCGAGAAGTCTGTCAGGAAACGACTCATGGCCGAGGTCCCCTACGGTGTTCTGCTGTCTGGTGGCCTCGACTCCAGTCTCGTGGCTTCGATTGCCCAGAGGGAGAACCTGCGCCTGCAGAAGCTGGCGCTGGAGGCCAGCAACAGGGCCGCCGCCAAGGCTGAGGCTGCCAAGTCTGAGAACCCCGACGTGGGCGAGGGTCTCGTTGGTATCGACGACGAGGATGAGCTGTCGACTGTCACCTACCTTCCTCAACTCAACTCCTTCTCCATCGGTCTCCCCGGCTCGCCCGACAACAAGGCCGCCCTCGAGGTGGCCAAGTTCCTTGGCACCAAGCACCATGTTATGACCTTCACCATTGAGGACGGCCTCAACGCCCTCTCCGATGTCATCTACCACCTCGAGTCGTACGACGTCACCACTATCCGCGCCTCTACCCCCATGTACCTGCTGTCGCGCAAGATCAAGGCCATGGGTATCAAGATGGTGCTCAGTGGTGAGGGCAGCGACGAGGAGTTTGGCGGTTACCTTTACTTCCACGGCGCCCCGGACAAGAAGGCGCTCCACGAGGAGACGGTTCGCCGCGTCAAGAACCTGCACCTTTCTGACTGCCTGCGCGCCAACAAGTCGACGTCGGCGTGGGGTCTGGAGGCTCGCGTGCCCTTCCTGGACAAGGAGGTGAGTAGGCCTCAGCGGGATTTCCTCCTCCTCCCGTTTCTGACGATACACTGAATGAGTACATGCTGACATGTGACGCAGTTCCTTGAGGTTGCCATGAACATCGACCCTCAGGAGAAGATGATCACCAAGGAGAGGCTCGAGAAGTATATTGTCCGCAAGGCGTTTGACACCTCGGACGACCCCAGCGCGGAGCCTTACCTGCCCGAGAAGATTCTCTGGAGGCAGAAGGAGCAGTTCTCCGATGGTGTTGGATACGGGTGGATCGACGCGCTCAAGGACAACGCCGAGAAACACGTGACGGACGAGATGATGAAGAACCCCAAGCCCGAGTGGGGCAACGATATTCCCGACTCCAAGGAGGCGTACTGGTACCGCACCATGTTCGACGAACACTTCCCCGCGTCGTGCGCGTCGACAGTCGTGAGGTGGACCCCTACCTGGTCCAAGCAGACCGACCCCAGCGGAAGGTGAGTCTCAACAAGTCTGCGGCGAGGAGCAAAAATGATGCATAAGAAGGACCACTGTACTAACGCGTTGCATGACAGAGCTATTGCCATCCACGAGCAAAAGTACGAGACTGCATGAGCGTGCAATTTTGGGTCGGAGGGCGAGGAGGGGTAGACCCTAGCCTACCCTACCTAGGTAGCAGGCTGGAGGGGTAGATTTTGCATCGGGGTTTCAGGCTTTTAGAGGCGCTTGTGCCGCCAAAGATCTTTGTGGGTTTGGACAAAAATACGAAGACCGGCGGCCTAGATACCTTGGTTGATAGAATGACCTGGATGAATCTGACTGGCGCGAGGTGGTGATGACAAGCTTGCTCCCTTGTGTGACGCTCGCAAGGACGTTGATGGTGTGGGGTCAGGTTCAGTGACACCCTGACTTTAATGATGCTTGATGCAAGAGCGACAGGTGACAGGGTAGGCAGGGGTCCTGGTGGCAGGAGGTGTTCCTGGCAGGTCAGACCAGGCACGAAGAGTGCATTGGTCTTGCAGATTTGGAACAAATGGTGAAGGAGGCAGGTGGACGCTGCTGCCAACTGACACGGTAACGTTTCGAGGCCCCGTGCCCGTGTCGCCTGCTGCCTACGTGCATCACTCTTCCACTTCCCGGCCGACTTACACCACCAAGCACTAGATATAGGGTGGCTTTCTGAATCCTTCGTTCTCAGGCCCCAAAGCGCATTTGCATCAACGCAAGCCTGCCACAGGGTAGATCCCCAACATCGTTACTTGGGAGGACTCATCGACCCTTCGCATTGCATCACCTGCACCCAAGCTTCCAAGTAACCAATCAACCATACGCTGCCACCCCCCACGTGGAGCTACACACGTCTCATTCTGGCATAGCTGTTTCTCTTGGTCACATATCCCGGACCGAGTTCAGCCGGGATTGCCCGTCAGCCAATCGACACGTCCCAAACAATTTTCCTGAGTCGTTCCCCCAATCCCCTAGATTGACTCCTTCGGCTCTCCTCCTGAAAAGGACAACCATCATCGCATTCCCATTCCCCACGAGAACCTCACATCCTCATCATACCTTTCATCCCGAAGCTCTTCCTCTCCTCCGCCTTCATCATGTCTGTCCCCAACTTTGCCGACATCGCCAAGGCGAGCAACGATGTATGTCTCGCATGCCTAGCCTGATGGTTCGGGAAGCTTCGCGCATCTGGGTGGGATTCGTTTGATCCCACCCGTGCGCGCCGCATGCACCCTTTCCAGAGCTTGCTCGCCATCATCAGCTCGATGCCAACGGCTAACCACCTCGGTGTAGCTCCTCAACAAGGATTTCTACCACCTCTCTGCCGCCACCCTCGAGGTCAAGAGCAACACCCCCAACAACGTTGCTTTCAAGGTCACCGGCAAGACTTCTCACGAGAAGGCCACCGCTGGCGCTGTAAGTCGCGCTCTCCCTGTCTCCATATTCCCGAGCAACACGAAAATCATGGCACGATCATCGGCTGACC